ACGACGGATTTCTTTTGCGATACTCGGTTATTTTTCTTTACAAGCTTGACTGCGCGCATTCCTGCATTCTCTGTGTCAGAAGGCCTCATTTCGTTCGTAACGGTTGTTTGTTTTCAACAACTTAAATAAGAAGATTTGAATAAGATATATTTTTTCCTGATTATACATAAAACTGATTACGAACAATAGTGATGTTTCTATGGCCAATCACGATGCATTCTGTTGTCTTCATGAGGCTCTCATATTGATGGATTGGTTTGTAGCCCTATATATTATATTTGTGTAAGATCTACAGGACGCTCACACTTTAACACTGTTTGTATTTGACAAAATGACAAAGTTCAATCTAATTATTATCTACTGTGGCGGTGGATACATCGGAATTCGAATTATCAAAACCGCAGATCAGTGAGGTATGGAATCTTGAAATGGGGATGGATGGATCCACTGTACGCGCAGATCTGATCGTGAGTCTATAAGTCACAAGAGATCAGATTCTCTTGTAACTTACAGACTCAATTCGCTTTTAGGTAATTCGATTCTATTTCAAAATGCTCGAAAAGCAGATAAAGGGCAAAATAAACTTTCCAAGTATAGGCTATTAAGTCAAGTCAATGTTACCCCTCTCCAGTAGAATAGCACGAATGAGCTCGCACTAACTCTAAGCCCGGGGCCCTGGACCGTTAAGGGCTTCAATGTACTAATCGGAATTTCTTGTCAAATCAGTAATTACGTATCAGTTGTTATATACTCTTTAGTCGTCCCTTTTATAATATAGTAGCGATTAAACACTTATTTATTAATCATTTGATTTATATTATTTATTTTTTAAATTTAGTTATGTGAGGCCTAATGTCTGCTTTATTTGTAATCATATTCTAATAACCAATGGAAATGAACCAAAAATCCAGAAATGAATTATTATTTATAGCAAAAGCTTATTATGCACATTTGTCATAAAAAACGCGTATTTAAGTAATCCCTTTAATGCATTTTCATTGTAAAGTTGTAATTTTAAATGTAATTTTTAATTACATTTGATTAAATTACTGATTTATTAAATTATTTGCAATTTTGATGTCATATAAATGAACAATAATAATTTACTAATTTCTCTTTTTATTATAATATCCAACGTTAATATTACTATTTTTGATGTTAATTGTATATATTAGTTTTTATACATAAATAATAATAATTCAATAATTATCTGTCTTGTAATTATATATATATATATGTTTATATATAGGCCTATATATATAATATCCAATGTATTTATTTCCTTTTTTTCATATTTGCAGTATTTATTCTAAAGTAATTTTCGTTTATTGTTTCTTTTTACGTGCTGTTTTGTCTGATGTGACGTTAATTTGTTCGGATGACGTAGATAGAGCCTTCCTTTTCGCTGCATTTTCTGTTAAAACGATACACCTAAATCTAACTTAAAATTAAACCACTACCTGACTAGTAAACTTTACCTACCTGATTAGTTTAGCGAATCTGCTCCCCTTCCCCGTGCCTTGCCTGCTCTGATCCATGGATCGAATCCAATGTTTTGTTTCTCGTTGATTTCTTTAATTTGTATACTTATTCAAAGCCATTTTTACCGACAAATAACTGAGTAGGCCTACTTTATCAAGAGGTACGGTACATTATAACGCTCATTACTGGTCTCATCTTGACAAAACATCAGTGACAGTGGAAATAAACATTATTTTCCCGTCTGGAGGTCTATGCTATGTTACGATTCGTTCTGTCGGTGATTGCAATTGGCAAAAGGCTTAATGACGTTGAATCCGTTGTCGATCGAAAGCTATTAAATGGAGTTCATGCTTTGGAACTTTGAATTAAACATTATTTTATGTATAGGCATACTACCTCTCATCATGGTCCGTAAATTACTTCCGTTGCTGCATCGCTATCAAGCCGGGTGTTTGTTGTCAAAGGCTCGTTTATTGAATAAATTGGATCAAAAACGATTTCCGTCAAAATATACAGCCGCCGCTGCCGCAGATGCTAAAATGTCGGCTGAGAATTCGTTAGGGAGATCACTGAGACCCGGAAAAGTTTCAATAAGATGTTACCGTAATATACTACTAGACACATTCATCTGAAACTGATACCCTTCCTTCGAAATACAATTAAATTGACCTGCACTAATTTTCATCCAATCTACTGGACAAAATACTACTTCAGTTACAAGAAGTCAAAGAACGGCTCAGGTTATTACTTCAAGATACGCGGTCCAGGTGATAGTTAAGAACGACCGATCGTTATTATTTTTTGTTCAGTCAATAATACATACGCCCATTAGAGCTTGTTTGTTGAGATGGACGAGCACTAACAGAGTCGATCATGTCTTCGATGTTGCCTTTTATGATTAGGATTTTACCCTCACATGTTAGCTTGTAATCCTTCCAAGTGTGTACACAGCTATGGCATATCCGAAGAATAGATACTCAAGTAACTGTTGCAAAAAGTCTTTTCTACTAAGTACAAATTTTACCAGACACCGATTCATAACTCCTTATGAGTTTCAATAGGGGTCAGTTACATCAACAAGAAAATAAATCATTTCACTTTCTAAGTTCAAAGAGTTCATGGAAGGAACGTAACGCGTCGTTATTTTGTAGTTGACGTTGGTTTAGTAAATATAGAGGGCATGTTGAACTAAACAAAAACCTAAATTCATAAAAATTGCTAACTTTGAATTTAGGCATACTATATTAGCTGTAAGACTAAGTTCAAAATAAGAACGAGAAAACAAAAGAAGACAATTTCCAAGAAAGCTGAGAACCCAAACGGAAGAACTATAGACTATGGTCCACAAATTAACAATACTTACGGTACCCACCAATTTTCATCATTCGCATTGAGTTGAATCGATGGGAACGGAATTGTGCATATTGAGAGGCTCATGTTTTAAATAAATATATTAGCATCATACATAAAAAAATTATTAAAAAAGTGTTTTCACATATCAAAATTACTCAGAGGAATAAAAGTAAAGAGAATTGAACGTTACCATAGAGAAAATAGATTATGTTGTATACCAATCGTGAATGTACTTACCTCACTATCTGGTTGTCATCTTCAATATTTGCACTTTGAAATCATATAGTAGCCTAATAGAATATGGCATTGTGTTACGCTAATGATTAAGCTTTTTACCGTGGTCGTTAGCGTAACTGAATGATATTATAGTTTTAATCATTTGGGCAGTTGGCGAAGGATTGTCGTTTGAATTGATTAACCACTGTCTCAATAAGTAGCATTCCCTTTTCAATAATACATATAAAAGTTGCGCTCTCTACTTAAATTTTCACGAAACTAGGAAGTGGGGCATTTGGTCCGTGAAAAAAATTTTAATTGTCCTAGGGTGCTTGAACCCAAAACTGTGAAATTGTTAGGCATACATCCTTTCACCAAGCTCCACTTACTTTTTTTCAGCGTTGGTTTAAAGAAAACAACGATCTAAGTTAGAAACTATTAAACCTGTTGAAGACAGTTACACAATCTCAAATGTATACAAATAGGCCTAGGTGGGCTTATGTGTATTGACAATTGACAACTTTAATTTTATGTTCGTTCTTAATCATTAATAAAAAAAAAAAGCTTAACTTACACTACTGATTGTAAAGACAACGTGGGCTTATTTAATTTAGCCACTAGTGTCCTGAAGTCACGAATCTCGTTGGCCATTTTCGTGTCGTGGTGTTTGTCTGACCAATAACTGATTATTACTGATGTTCAAATAATAACTTCACTGCAAATGACCGATATCTGACTTCGTGCCTGGTTATCAGTTAAATTTCAACGCATCTAAACCACACCTTCAATATACATATGGTACACAAATAATATATGTCAAAATAATTTACTTATGGTTGAAATCGTGCACTTTGTCAAAAAAAAAAACAAAAAAAAAAAAAACGTAATCTATAACAAGTCACTAACTAGGCCCTACTTGTGTGTAGGCCTACTTGTTGCTTGTTATTCGTTGCTTGCTTATCTTGATCTTGATGAATTGATCAGAGTTGAAACAGCACTCAATGTAAACATAAGCTACATCATCGTCATCGTGTTCGTCGTCGTGGTCGTCATTAATTGCTGTTGTGACCTCTCTCCCCCATCCCACTGAAATGGGCCCAGGCAGGGGTGGCGCCTAAGGGAAACTGGGGGATAACCCCCCCCCCGTCGGCGAAGCATAGGTCCCCCAACCCCGTCAGGGAGGACGAGTAAATTTTGTCGGGGAATAAACAAATAAAAAAAATTATTTACTTTCATTAAACTTTTTTTGTTAACTTATTATAATTAATAACTCATAATAATAATAATAATAATAATAATAATAATAATAATAATAATAATAATAATAATAATAATAATAATAATAATAATAATAATAATAATAATAATAATAAATAATAATAATAATAATAACCTCAACCTTGACAGCGTTGACAAATGCAAAATTTCCAAAATGTAGAATTTCACTTTCAAGAATGAGGATTTGAAAATAAATTAGATGGTTACATTGCATACTCTTTGTTTCTTGTTTTATTCAAAATGTTTTGGTTTTCGAAGCTGAGTTCCTCGACATTAGAAAACATACAGCCTACATGAAGTCATATTATAGTAGCTCGATGCCTATAAAATAAGTAATACAAATTCGCCATAATTCGTCAAATATCCGTGGCCCCTATCCAAGTGAGACTTGATTCGCTCCACTAACCCCCCTCCCCACCCCGTCGGGGCCTTTAGCCCCTCCGTCGGGCAGGTCCTGGCGCCATCACTGGGCCCGGGCCGCGGTTAGTGAGTGGAGTAGGCCAGTCTAGTAGCAACAGCAGCAATATTTGCAGTAGCATAGTAGGCCTAGGACTAAAAGTAGTTTATTAATTTTATTTATTCCACAATCTTTATTGAGGATGCTGTCCAGTGTCAAAAGAAATTGATCATTGAAGGCCGAAGGGAGTCCCTGGCCCTCGTTTTCGTAATTGCTAAGGCCTCATAATGACGTCACTTTCTATACTTGGTACACTCAAAATGGCGAGCGACTTGGACATTGTTGTTCCTGATTGTTATAAACAAGTTAGACCGTACATTCTAATTGCAAAAGAGCATGACTCACGTGACCCGATTGTCGCCTATTATGGTATGTATGATATATTGGCAGAAAAATAATTTTATGGACGTCCTGTACACGCCTATGAGTTCGTTATAAGTAGGCCTAACTTGTTTATATGCGTCCTTAGGCCTAGGCTAGGTTTGTTTAACTTGTCACGGTGAAGGAGCTCAACGGAATTTCTTCGGGCAAGTAATTTGTTCGGAACCCGCCAAGCGGTGATGGGTATAGGCCTAGGCCTAGCTACGGAACATTCCTGTGCCACAATCTGTTATGTGGGTTACCTGCAACACGTAACATGTGCTTGTTCATTCTTTAAACCAGTCTTTATATAATCCCAGGCCTATGCGTGTTTAATAATTAACCTACCGTAAATTTCATATTACATTTTTACAATTTTTTAGTCTTGTCGTACTGAGCTGAGTACCCTATCTTAATTTTCTCTATGACTAGGCCTAGTCGTCTATGATTTTGTGCAAGTGTGTGGATGTGGCCGCACTCTGATAATGGAAAAACAAAAAAATTGTGAGGAACATTGTGTGTAATTATCTCACATACCTGCTATCCTGCTTGTAAGATGTATCATCATCATCTATCACAAGATTCACAAGAACACATGTTATACATATAAATCAGTTATTATAATAACTATTAAATAATTATAAAATTTAGACTATACATAACTACATACTTCCGTGACTATGTCTTAATTCATAATTAGAGTACCATACAAATTAAAAGCCAAATTTTCAGGAAAAATAACTTCATATTTCATTTATAATTTTTCGGTAGTTGTTTGAAATGATAAATCTTTTGTCATTGGCAGCACTACTGTTAGGTATCTTCGGAACTACTTGGGTCGAGAAAAGCTGCTGATGTTGTGAATTAGTTGAAGAAGAGTTTTACATCAGGCTCACTTTCCATGCAGCACATTAATATACTATAATACAATAATAATAATAATAATTATTATTATTTACACATATTATTTGCAAGTTTTTAGCAGTATGTATTATGTAACATAAGTGTAACTTCATTATGTTTTATAGTGTTGTATTATGTCCCTAATCAGAATAATTTTAAACAATAATATTGTAAAGTATATTTCTAACCAATTAACAAATGCGCATAAAATTAATACTGTTCCACATCATTTAGAACCTTACAGTAAATTGCAAGAAAATTTAATAATTTTTGTAATATAGTCAGTAAAAACAATTTTTTTTTGTGATTGTCTTCTTACTAAGAATAAAAATATTATACTTACAACACTATTGGTAATTTCCTGAAAAAAATATTACTATGCTGATGTGGTTGCTGTAAAGATTGAATCGGTAATCCTTATCATAAATTGAAACTTGTATATTTAATGTGTCTATGAAATAAAACCTTGAAGTGTTTACGCCTGGATAGAAGCAATGACGATCCATCTGCCCATTTCCACAACCTTATTCACTTAGTAAAATATTTACAATTAGATTTCTTATTGTGATGCAAGATTCAATGCATCTTTGCCAATAGCAACAAGATGTATTGAGATTATTTTTCCTCAGAACAAATATGTACAGACTTTATAATATTGTATGTGTTAGTAAATATAATAAGTAACAATAAATTTACCTCAGGACCCTGAGACTGGAAATGAAGCATCTAAACCATAAAAATACAGCCCACTCTTATTTCTTTTCTTTTAAATAATAAATATAAATATTATCTACTTTGTATTACTAGTTTATATTTTCCTTTTATGTAAACCATGTTTGGTGAATTGTACCCACAATCCCTGCCTGAAGTATTTTACATAAATATGCATTTTGTTTACTTATTGTGTGTACCTTCGGCAAACAATAAACTGTCTGTTATTATTTGTTAATCAATTAATATGTTTGGTTACTAGCTAGGCGATATGCAATGGAAACAGCAATGAAGCTGAAACAGCAGAGGACACCAGAAGGAAAGACATTTTTGTTTGGATTAATGGATGTCTTAGAAAAGGTATGGTGTTTGATTTTGTTTTAAGATACAAGATATAAGTTGGTTTGGATCTTTTCAGTGTGAAACACACCAAGACGAACACACTTACTTCTACTGCTAACTGATCTATTCTGCTCTGACATGTTTTATAACATAAAAAAGTTGTCTTAAGCATTCTTTTTTTGAGAGTTCTTTTCATTTATGTTGTTTTGTTGCACCGTTTGAGGTGATACTGAGCACTGTTTTAATATATTTTTTGTTTTTTTATCTGCTTGATATTTTTTTGCAGTGTAAGACAAAACTTCAGGAAGCAGGTAATGATGAGGCAGTTACAAGTGATGTTGTTGGGTCCGTCCATGTGGAAAATTATGCCTTGAAAATATTCCTGTTTGCAGATAATGAAGACAGAGCTGCAAAATTTACCAAGTAAGCAGTTTGATTTTGATTACAACACACAATAGCTAGTAAATAAATGAATAAGTACATTAACAATAGTAACTATCAACTGAAATCGGCGGATTTAAGGGTGGCGGGAGTCAAGAGGTAGTCTTTTAAAAATTTTAGCAGGTTTCTTCTTGCGATTGGTTGAATTTGTTTCTCTTATTAAATCAGGAAAGTTTAAAGCTGAAATATACCAAAGTACTGTAAGTGGTTTTATTAAGATAAAATGTTTCCGTTTACGGTATTGTAAATATACTTGTTTCTGATTTTTCAGAAGCACAATCAAATCATTCTACAAAGCCGGCTTGTTACTTGACATCATGCAAACGTTCGGTGAACTTTCAGAAGAGGTAAGTTTACTATATTCCAGGAGATGTGGATGTTTTGAGTACATTATCAATGGATGGACTGATTGTTGGAAAAATTTATCTTCTATCCAATCGGAAGCCTTACTTTCATATGAAAAAGTCACAAAGAATAAGCCACTCTGCCATTTAGAAATCAACAAAAGAATTGCATTCAACAGCTCAAACCTGAACACTAAACAAGTCTTGATATTTTATTTACTACAGCTACAGCAACAGATATATTTAAAATTTATTATTCAATTATTCTTGATCTAATAAAGCTAAAATCCCCCTTTTTTAAAAACATTTTGCACACTATACACAATATGAATTTGATGTTTTCATTTTTCAATGTTTTTTCAGCTGGCGAATAATAGAAAATATGCAAAGTGGAAAGCAACATACATAAACAACTGCTTAAAGAAAGGTGTAACACCAATTGCAGGCCCAGTGGATGAAGAGGGTGAAGGTAATGTATGATACTTGAATTGGAATCGGTTTATCAGTAAGAAAGCAGATGTAGATTCTTCTTGTGAATAATACATTTTTTCCTTTGTATTTCCATTGCTTGCCCATTTTGAAATTGTTTATGTAACATAATAATAATAATATTTTCTTGAAGGTTAAGCAATTAAATAAAGATTTCCAGCTCCCCTGGCAATGGAGGGCAGGGGGAATTCTGTCTCCCTTGAATCCCATGGGTTTTTTGTCTAGAATCCTACCTGAAGTGGCCCCTTGGTCTGTACCATTGTCGGATCCCCTGGCGACTTGATTGACTCTTCACTGCTTTCAACTCAGAACGTAACTCTGAATACTGTATATGTTTTACTTTTATACATTTTTGAGAACCAATGAATCAATTAATACAAATGAAATGGGTAACACTTTCCCAAGTTTAATTTTATTTAGAAAATATCCGTCAGTAACATTGTTTTCATTTTTCAGAAGGAGGCGGCGCTCCTGTGTATTCTCAGCCTCCAAACACTCCATCAGGAGGTGTTGCTCCCCTTCCTGGAGCATATCCTCCACCACAGCAACCAGGACCATCCTACCCTCCCCAAGCACCCTCTACCAGTTACCCTCCTTCTGCCAGTAATCTCATGCCGCCAGGGGCCCACGCTCCACCCACAACACCTGAACAGTATTCTGTTGGTCAAACTGGTATACCTGGTCCCTCAACCCAACCTCCATCTAGTGGTGGTGAGTGTAATATTTTTATACATTTTTTACATAAAATTATATTTAAATTTTTCACAAAGTATCATTTACATATACTGTACATTTATAATTATGAATAAATATGTATTCAATTGCAGCTGATGATTTAGGAATAGTTGAGTTGAATAGCTTGGTGGTTAAGATGCTTGCATTCCAGTCCCGGGGTCCTGGGTTCAATTCCTGTCAGTGTTGCAAGATTTTTTCTCAGGATTTAGTTTGTGTAAAGCATTATGTGTGTATGTTTGTCTGTGAAAGGGATTCAATATTGATAATTCTTGGTGCATGTGTTGTGTGCCTAAACAAATAAAAAAAATTGATAAAAAATAATGTTTCATATGATATATTATTAATTGATACTACATAATAACATACTCTACAATAATGAGTGGACATTGTTTAGTGTGTGGCAAATTATTTGTTACATTGCTTATGTCTATTTTGGTTATTATTTGACCTGGATGACCCTTACCCCTAAACTTATTGCAACGATGTATCACACCTGTTAAAGCTCTGTCCACACTTCCAAATTTTATTTGACAAAAACATGTGACATGCCTAAATATGGCCTTATGACCATATATGGGCATACAAAAGTTTTTCATTTTCTTGCAGGAGTTCAGCTGTCTGTTTCTGACTATTCTAAAGCTCAAAAGTTCTGCAAGTACGCTGGAAGCGCCCTACAATATGAAGATGTTCCAACAGCCATTGAAAATCTGGAAAAGGCTCTGCGATTATTAAGGACGGGAAAAGAATAAAAAAAATGTACTATACAGATGTACAGATAAACTAGATGTTAATATTAGTATATTCTTTTTTTAAGCATTTGAAAATTGTTAATAAAGTGTATGAAATATTTCTTGAATATTTTATTAATATTAGGCCTCTATGAAGCATATAATTTAACTAGATGTATCTAGGTTTTTTCAATTTTTCAATTTCACAAAAATCTCTATTCTGGTGCAATATATCTTCATCTACTACATCATGTTCCATATACTGTACTTGAAAATGAAAACTATCAATGTGAAGAATAAAATGTGCAGTTGGACAACGCTAGTCCTTGATGCAAAACATGATCTCTAAAGAGGTACTTTTTTTTTGTGTAAAATTATATTTATATGCTATGCAGTATATTGAATTGAATTGTTATACAGTACTGTACTATGTAGTAGTAATATTGGTCTAATAATACACAATGATGCTTCTACGGTATACTGTACACTTTCAATAAACATAAATAAAATTTTACAAACAGCAAGTTATTGATTGAAAATGTTCATCTATTTTATTTCATAAAACAAGAGCAGCAAAATGTACTGGCAAACAAAAAAGATCACTGGACTGAGTCATGTAAAACCAGCCTCAATGCTGGGGACACATGTTAAACACATTCTTAAGACTTAATGTATTTACCTTTATGTTGGTAATAAGTAAACATGTTTTAGTGCACATGGAACTCTCACAACCGAAAATGTGTATTGACAATATGAGGCTTGCCATAGAAGAAACCAGCATCTGTGGCCAAAAAATGAAAATTGATTTTTTAATATGATATTCTTATTCTCCAAATTGTCAGCTTAAAGTGATGGGTCACTTACTGGAATTGACCAAGGCAATTCAACAGAAGGACGCACATCTCGGGACATCAAAGATTATAACTCTGGCATCGACATTCTAGGCGCACCTGCGTCCCTACACGCTGAACGTCACAAAAACCATAGCAACCAGGCCATAAACCGTCAGCGTACGTGACGATTTACTCGCGCGTGTTAGTTGCCATGATAATCGCGCGTCATGCGGTGATTACAACGGCCTAATGATGTTTTGCACTAACATTAGACTGAAATTATATTCTTCATTTCAACATTAATTTTACCAAAATTGTGGTGAATTGTCGTTCATGAGACTCACTTCGCAGAAAAAATTAATAAATGTTCTGTATATACTCAAATGTTCGTTTTCGGCACCTTATGCCAACACTGTCAAAATAACAGATTAATGTTACATAAGAACATGAAATTTTATAAAATTCGTAAATTTTAAATTGCTATAACTTTTCAATTTTCTTGGTCAATCAAAATAAAATTGCAGTTTATAGAAGCATTTAACAAGCTCGCGGTAAAAAAAAATCAGATGTAACAGGCATTGCGAAGTACCCAAAATTAATAAAATAAAAACTAACACTATGAAACGAATGGCACGCATAGACTAATATTTGACGGCTGTACTCGCAACTAATATCAGATTGTCGATGCCACAGTAAAGATCAAAGGACTGTACGCACGCGCTATGTTCGAGTGCGGAGATGTGCGTCCTTCTGTTGAATTACCTTGAATTGACTGACTACTGCCAAAGTTGTATGGCATCTCTGTATACAATACTGGTACATTCTTATGCTAAGTACTCAGTTTAACAATTAGCGACAGCACGCTGGTTTTAAAATGGCAAGCCTCATATGACTTGCATATAGATAGTGCAAAAATAAAATGTAAAATGCAAGTTACAAAATGAGGTTAAATGAGAACCAAGTGCATAGTGAATGTTATCAACACAGTACTGTACTACCAACGGCATATCGATAGGGATGAACTGTATGGGTGCAAGACACCACCCCACCCCATCTAGATCCCCGGCCCCCCCCCCCCCCCCCCGCTTAGCACCCTTTTTTGCCAGTTAGGCGAAACTTTTTTTTATACCTTCTAACGCAAACATTTTTTTAAAGATCTTCAGAGGAGGGCAGAAAAAATACAATTTAGTCGTCTAATTTAGCAAGCGGTTTGCCAAAAACTTTGAGATAGAGGAGAAAATAAAAATAAAATTTACTGTTGAATGTGAACAGTGTAGTAATGGGATGGTAAAATACTTTAAATTCATATAATGAGGAAGATATATACATATCTTATTTGTGTCTACGGGTCTGAGAATTAAATATGTGGACCCGTCCACTCTTGACCACCACCCTCAATACACTGTACAAAATAAAGTAATTTTGGAGATTTTAAGGCAGCTGTGGGCGTTATGAAAATAAAGCAAAAACTTATTTTTTTTTGAAATTTCCATTTTTTGTGGTGGTGGGTGTGCTAATTGGCCAAAAATTAAATTTTATTTTTATTTGAAATAATCAATATTGGCGAGTGGCCTGTTCACGAAACAAGGTATAAAGAAAGTCCTGCTAAAAGTAATACTAAAAATAATAAATAAAACTTTTCTATGCATGCACTGTGATTTAATTGTGAAGTGATGGTTTCGCTGATATGAAAGCATCTCCTTTACCATTGTCATTTAAATCAGACCTTATTACTGAAAATGTCATTTATCTACAATAAATAATGATAAATACATGCAGAAATTTGCACAAATTTATTAAATCACACACAGACAAAAAAACTCAAGGTGTTTGAAAGCTACCAGTAATATGGTATTGCCATTCCTGAATACTTAACTTATGCTAACTCTAGTGCAAGAGCTAAACAGCTTCATGACTAAAGAGCTAGATTTCTCCAGTATAAGACCTGTCCACCTTCATGATTGTGGGACTCCCTAGTAAAAAACAAGAGGTACATATCTTCATACATTATCAGCCATTTCCAGTACAAGAGCTGCCATCTTCAAGAATAATGGACTTATCTCCAACCCAAGAGCTGCCCACATTCATGATTGTGGGACTCTCCAGTACAAGAGCTGCCATCTTCAAGAATAATGGACTTATCTCCAACCCAAGAGCTGCCCACATTCATGATTGTAGGACTCTCCAGTACAAGAGCTCTTCATACATTATCGGTCATTTCCAATACAAGAGCTGCCATCTTCAAAGAATAATGGGCTTATCTCCAACCCAAAAGCTGCCTGCACTCATGATTGCAGGACTCCAGTATAAGAGCTACATATCTTCATAAATTATCACCATCCCTAGTACAAGAGCTGCTATCTTCAAGAATAATGGGCTTATCTCCAACACAAGCACTACACATTTTGATACATTTATATCACCATCTCTAATACAAAACAAGCCCACCATCATGATTGATAAAATTATCTCAAGAACAAGAGGTGCACACCTTCATAAACGGTGAGCTATCTACAGCACAAGAGCTGCATAGCTACATGATGAGTTATTTCCAGTACAAGAAACATCTTTACATTAATGAGCTACCTCTTGTGCAAACCTTCATACATGATGGCCTTATCTCCAGCACAGCATCAACACAGCCCCATTCCAGGAGCTTCTGATATGAACAAAGTGGTGCATTGCTACTCTATGACAACTTCTTTACATTTTGGAAGACCTCCAAGAAATTTGCATGTTATGTAGTCATTAAGGCTATTTTGACAGACCAATTTAAATAGTTTCAGATCCACCAACACAATATTAACAAATCGATGTTGATATAGCTTATGAAGCTCGAAAGCTCTATAAATTTTAAATACTTTTTACTGATTATTATAAATAAATTTTATTCATTCTAGACAGTCAATTAAAATTTTTCTCATGCAAATATGCTCAATGAATTTTATCATACACTATACTATCAACATTTGCGTAATGTATTCAAACACTTCAAAACATTAAATGTAAAGCCCCTCTCCCACCTAGGTTTATTTCACCTAAGAGTCGTACGATTTCTACGAGTTAAAACTTGTGATCTTTGGAAAGGACCTATACGAGCTTATTACGTGATAGCTACGAGTGAGGTACGACTTTATGGTGTTGGTTAGGAGTTATGTATGAATTATGCCGAGCAGAGCACCGAGTTAACTACGAGATTATTACGAGCGTAACAAGTTTGTACCGAATTAGATACGAGTTAGGTACGAGCCAACTTGGTGCGCTCATACTTACTCGTACTCATTTTTGGGTGCTAGCATCAAACTCGTAATTGACAAAACCGCCGACGAGTATCCAGAGTAGTGTACGAGCTAGCTTAGAGTACCCGAATACTCTACGAGCTACCTATGAGTTCTTCGAGTTTACTACGAGTTATCTACTTGTGGCGATAATTTTGAACATGTTCAAAATTAGCACCACGAGTTCAGAGCTGCTACGAGTAGGTAAGAGTCCTCTCCGAGCTTACCGAATCGTCCTATGAGTTTTTGCTGAGTTTGCCGAGTTAGCTCGACATTCTCTTGTAACTCGTATGCTGAAAAAACCCCTAGTGGGAGAGGGGCTTAACACTTCATAAAAATATCTATACACAATCGATATAGAACCTCAGAATACAATAAGTACCTAAATTTGTAATCATAAGTAATTGATACAAAGCAAACTGATTTAAAATGTGACTCATTATCGCACCAAATATTTCAAGCCATATTTTTTACTTCTTTTACAATGTCCATTGATAATACAGTAGTATAAACATCCAAATATTATGAATTTGCACGAGATGCATTATTTTCCGGAAAATTTTGTGTGTGGGAGGTCATCCCGATTTCCGGGAGATTCCTGTGACTTGCATAACCCCTTGAGAAATATTAATTATCTTGCAATGTTAATAATATAGATAAGAAAACACAGAATAAGTTTTGTATTGTAAATTTTATAGCTACTTTAGAATACTACTCAATAATACTATGTACTCTTTAACAATATTTTTTATTGTCATGTTTTTGTATTAAGGAACCAGATCAACATTTTCAACTTGGAAGTATAAAAATAGAAATGAATTACACATCTGACTAATTTTACAAACATTTTCTAAGAGTATCCACAATCATATATCATATCTATCTATGTACAATAGAAAGTCAAATGAATAATAATACATAGGAAATTTCATTGGTCAATAAATTTACAAATAATTATAAAAATTCTGATCGCTCAGAAGCAGAATTTAGTATTGTATTGGATAAAAAGTCTAATATGTAGTTAAAATATTAAACCATATAATGGCATTATATCTTATTAAATTACTGTATTTAGTTTGATTACCTTTTCCCACATGTTGTGGTAAAGTGTTCAGCATGGTTAAATATAATTTGAAGAATTGGGAATCACAATATGACACATGTTTTTGATTTTTGCTGGTCCCCAGCTGTTTTTTCAGTTCCTGCATTTTTCTTCTTCGTTTTCTCCTCTTCTTCATCCTCATCCTCTTCTTCCTCCTCCTCCTCCTCATCTTCATCTTTTACTTTCTTTTTGTCAGTTTCCTTCTTTTTTGTATCCTTTTGTTTTTCAGCCTCTTTCTTCTGTGAGTCTTTTTTATTTTTATTTTCTTCTGGTTTCTTCACAGTCTGTGCCTCCGCTTGCTCTTTTCCCTTCCTCTTCCAGAACTGCCATGACTAAAATTAGTACAAGGTATGAATACAAAAGGTTAAACAAGTTAGTAAGTAGGACCATACTATGTGTAAATTCTGGCCACATTACCAAATTATCTGACAAATGATTTGCCCATATATGGGCATCATATCACATCCATTTATAAGCAGTCTTATCAAACCTGATAATATAATATAGATGTATAAGATCACACTTTAGAGTACTACTAAATACAAGGTATGAAAAAAACGAAATGAGACAAAAGACATGCTTTATAACAAAAAGTAGATAGACTATGACATCTACACCAATAGCCCCAAAATCAAGATCAGATTAAAAGTAAATTAAAATCCACTGTAATAGGATGTCAATAAAGAGAATATTGATGAATAGTTTGACACTTACACAAATATATGTAATGTTGAACCATGCAGTATGAATAAAAATGAAAAAAGATACTATTTAAAAACAGTAAAACAGTAATACAGGTATTTATATTTCATTAAAGTTATACTGCCTGTGCTGAGTAATACATTGATCAACACATTTCAATGCTTGAAATAAATATTTTGGACAAGTGACAAGTAATAGTCAGAAATATATGACCCACACACGACAGTGGAATTGGTTATTTTAGAGAGAGAATGTATGTTGCCTGCAAATAGACCTTTCTGCTAAGCCTTAACCTTGGATAATGCTGCAAAGGTCCAACAAAATGACAGTGTATAAACATATATATTTACTCACATGCGTTTGTGGGACCATAGAGCAAAGAAACAGACTATTTTCTGTTCTGTTTCTTTGCTCTATGGTGTGACCATGGTGAGACAGCACATGTGCTTGTAGGGCGTGCAAATATTCCAGGCCTTGTTCTGATTGGTCAGTTGTTAATTTTGATTGACAATCTGGAACGGTCCATTATGTTGTAATGTAATTTGTTTGCTTTTGCAGAGGTTTATATAGGATTTTAGGCTTATGGTTTAATTCCTTTGTTTTCTTCTTTCGTTCCAAGGTTATTTCAACAATGAAATAATGTGTGCATAAAAAATTCCAAATAAAAATAATTCCTATTACGATGTACAGTAATGTACCTCATTAAATATAGGTCAAATAAATAAATAATAAATAATGTCACTTGAATGGATGTGAGAAGTGATGCAGGTGGATAAAATGTACAGTGTTTAATGATTGTGGACAGAAAAATGTCAGAAACTTTAAAGTAGGTCATTACAGAGCAGTATTAGTAGAGTGCTCACTAAATGTGAATTTGTAGAGGATGATTTGTCTCAAAACTAGGTGTGTGTTTATGAATGTTTGTTTTTTAGTTTTGAGTTGTACCACACAAGTAAGGCAGACTGTAAACATAACCTCAATGTAATACATTTAGAAAATTATTGGAGTATAGATGTACCTTGGGTGGCGATTCTACTTTCTTTTCCTCGGTGATGCTCTTCTCATTTTTCTTGTCTGATTTTTCTTTTGATTTTGTATCTACAGAGAATATTCTCACCATCAGTTAATCCATCAAACAATTAATTTTACAATCAAGTATTCTCGTGTTTAAATAAATAATTATTTGATTAAAGCATCATTGATCCTGACAGCCACACACAGCCACAGAGAAATGGAACTACATTTACTAGTAATAAAAATTTTAATGATACAATAATAATTTTAACGACAATAATAATAAAAATAATAATAATAATATTAGTTAAAAAGTACCAAATATTACACGTTATTTAACAATAACAAATTAATATAATCATTTACAATAATAAAACAACATATATACAACACATCTAAATGAATTATAAAACTACTTTAGCAAGTGTTGAAAATTACCTGTTTTATCATTTTCATCTTCATCGTCATCATCCTCCTCTTCATCGTCGTCGTCATCATCCTCATCTTCATCTTCATCAGCATTCACTTTCTGCTTTTGTTTATTCTTGGTGTCAGTCTTTGGTGGTGATTTAACATTTTTATTCTTTTTGATTTCTTCTTCATCTTCCTCATCATCGTCGTCTTCCTCACCATCATCCTCATCATCGTCCTCATCATCATCATCATCATCATCTTCATCATCATCATCTTCCTCTTCGCTTTCTTCTTTTGGTACCGGCTTCTTAACTATTCTAGGTGCTGCTTTAGGTAATGCACTTTCTGTTGGAACCTTCTTGGTTTTCTTATCATGCTCTTCAACAACCTTAACTGGTGGCTTTGTTCTTGGTTTCACAGCAGGACTTTGTTGTACTTTTATTGGTTCCATTGCTGGTTTTTTGTTCATCTTAGCTACAAAAAGGGAAAAAATCATATTAATAAATGTGTAGATAATATATACAACCTATCAACTTATCATTTTTTAAGTATATTTATAAATATTACCATTCACATATAAACCAATATACAATATATATGTGAGGTCTCACTATGAAATGAGACGCATCGTTGGTGAAATCATATTGAGATATTCATCAAAATAGGTCAAAGGCAACATTTTTACAAAATTTTTGATTTTAATGTTTTTGAATAACTTGATACTTATATTTTATGATTGTGTACTTTTTAAGTGAATTTTCTTACTAAAACAGTGTTCTCTATGCATATTCTGTAATTCTAGTACTATTATTTGTACAGGTTAGTTTATCTTCGAGGCCAATTTTCTCAAAACCTAGTTCTCATACACCAAAACTTTAAATGCTAACATCTCTGGATCTATTTATGATAGGGAAGCCATTCAAAGATCAAAGTAAAGCTTACAGTGTGATCTACCAAAATATAATATAAACTCATTTTTTGATTTTCTAACAATGAGACTCATTTTGTAGTGAGACCTCAGATATTATATAAAAATGGGCTGCCATGCCACAACCAGCATCAGTGATCAAAACAAAAAATACTTTTTAATATATTCATAATCTCCACATTGTAAGCTTTAAAATGGTGGTTCATTTACTGGAACTGACTTATGACTGCCAAAGTTATGAGTAATAGTATTGCGGTTTCTCTGTACTAAAGTATACAATACTGCCACATTCTTATGCTAATTACTCAGTTTATCATTTAGCGACAGTACACTGGTTTTGGGATGGCAAGCTTCAAATATTCATATAATCATTTTTGAATGTTACCTTTGTCATCTTCTTCATCTTCCTCTTCACTCTCATCTTCCTCTTCACTGTCATCTTCATCATCCTCTTCATCATCATCGTCATCGTCGTCTTCCTCATCTTCACTTGGAATCTTCTTTGGTTGTTCTTGTCTTCTAGGAGCTGGCACAGGTCTGGGACTCTGTCCACAAATGAAGGTAAGAAATGTGTTAAAGAATATTGCTAAGAATACCTATGATTTACCTTTTCTGGTAATCTACATTTTTAATAATACACACCATTTTATCAGGCGTAATTTAAAACGACGTCACCAATCTTTGAAGACTCACAGTGTTTCACTGGAGGGCATTCCAGCAGAGCAGCAGTGATAAAACAACCAAAAACACTGCAGGCTTTATGCGCTTCTTTTTCTTTTTTATTTTGGCATTTTGTCTTTAAAGATTAGCCTACAACAAGACAGAAAGCTGTGCATCGGCCACAGATAATCACTGGTAACTAAACAAAATGCCTGTAGATGTTTCCCAGAAGTAGTTGCCAGGTTCTTGGAAATTTCATTTCAAATTTAGCTAAAATGGTGTATACATGAATACAGTATTCAAATACATATAAATACAATAAATAAATTATACAAACTAAGTATATAAATAAGTAAAATACATAACATAAAATAATAAATAAATATATCATATAAATACATAAAATTAAAAAAAAGATAATATACATACATATAAATTAATAACAAAAATACACAAAAGTAAAAAATTAATTATGGTTAAGTGCGTTGATAGAAGTCAGATACAACAAACAGTAAGTAATTAGATGACATTGTGATGTTCTATGTGTGATGACCTAGATGTCAGCAATAAAATCAATTTAATTAAACAAATATGGTTAGTTATCATCTGAATTCACCATAAAAATATAATTACATGCCTTCTGATGAACACAAACAAATTATTTTAATTATTGAAAACCACTACAACAGGACACCATTACCATAGACTCGAATTTCATGTTAGAAATAATTAAAAGAGAAATATACTAATGATAGAACTGACAAATTGGATACTTATTCTAAAGAACAATATCCCATAAAATATTTAAATATTTAAATTTTGTTTTTCATAGAAAAGCATTAAAGATTCAATCAAATATACAAATGTATTTATATAAATGATACACCAAACACAGATTGCACCAACAATAGAAAAATGATTACAGTACTAGAAAATATTAATTGATTAAATAGAAGTTAATAAAAGTTAACTTCATTTATGAGTCCTGTAGATGAAATGAAAAAGCACATGAGGTGAATTAGTTCACTTCCATAGTAGTTGTGTAGAATTAAAAACCGGACAGCCTAGAATAGAAAGAAAACCCAGAAGATGGTCTTAAATTAATAGCTAGAAAGAAAAAAGTAAACCACAATTTAGTGAAGAAGATTGTCACCAGAAAACTTAATCCCTTTGTTTATTCTACCTCATCAGCTGAATTACTGTCCGTATTATGTGGTTCCTCAGTGTCTGCAACTTCCTCAATGGCCATTTCTTTGTTAGTTTCATTTTCTTTACCCGTTTCACCTTCATCTGTTGATTTTATTTCAGTTTTTTCAGTTGGCAAATTCTCAGACTCTTCATTCTGTTCATCGACTGCTTCCTGAATTTTTTTGTTAAGATGGTCAAGAGATTTCACTCATTTTATGTAGGTTTATGATTTATAATGTGCCCAAATTATTAAAATAACATTTCTGGGATGAAGATTTGGAGGTGGGGTAGTGAGGTTGGGGAGTCGGATGAGCAGAAGTTACACATTGACTTGCCAGCACTGAATACACTTTTGTTACCGAAAGTAACTGAGGGCGCTATTGAAGTATTCCCTTTGACGACACAAGCCTTTTGTATTTTAAATAAATGTGCTTGCATGCATTAAATTCAACTCAAATAGCACTTTTTAAAGGCAGTTAAGAGTAAACTATACGCTTTTTTTGCTGTTTTATTATACTCCTTAACAATGTTTGTATGCAAAAAATGTCTGATGAGAAAACTTGTATTTAAACTAAGATGTAGAAAAGATTTACCCCCTTCCTCATGGAAGTCAACATGTTGTTGATAAATTAAATAAATTTGAATTACATTCACCTTGCCTCCACCACCATCATGTTCATCCTCTCCCTGAAATAAAAGGCATTTCACCTTTAACAAGGGCAGTTTACACAAGATACATTTCCTCTGTTTATATGTTATATAAATATTAAGTTCTGGAACAATTTCATCTGGTTGTTTATATAAATATTATGCTGTAGCAGCAACACACACACAACCATGATGGTACATGTATATCTATACATACAGTTATACGTATATGATTACTTCAATAACAAAGCATCAAATAGAGACTAAACACTACATAATCAGGGGCAGGTCTAGGATGCATGGAGCTCCAATCAAGGGTCTATTGTAACGCCCTGTCCAAACTATCAAATTTTATGACATACCCAAATATGGTCATAGTGATCACATCATGACCATATATAGGCACATCATGACTATATATGGGCATACAACAGTTTTCTGTCAAAGAAAATTTGATAGTGTGGACAGATCTTTAGGGGAATGGTCTGAGAAGGACGCCCCTTTCCCAATTCCAATATTTCACTCCGGGAAATATACTGTCACAATGATGTTTCATTATAAGGCTTGAGAAGAAGACAAAAAAGAATGCTAGCTTTGTTTGGTGTGCTTTACGACAATAAACGAAAGGTAGGTAAAGACTTATCCTAGGCTAGGCCCAGCCAGGCACTGTCGAGTGCAGCCATTTTAGGCTTTATTCCTTTATTTAAATATTTAATACGCCTGAAAAATGTGTGCGCTTTTTATTATGAAGTGTTTGATACTTGGCCCCTAGGCTGCTAACTACTAGAAACTAACCAGAATTCTTGGCATGACTGTGATTTGACATCAGTCAAAGGTTATTTATTTTGCATTCGGATCTTTTTCCGATAATCTACTGATTCTCATGCGAAAATTTATCTGCAACTTTGGGCCCCGTTTCCGCACCGAAAAACAAAATGGCTGCTTTCCAATAATTTATTGGACAGTAAGTGTTGTGAAAACATGGCCTCAGTGTTTATATGCAATTACCTCATTCTCTTTCCTTTTAACTTTGTGCATTGCTGAGAACATAGGCTTCATATCATTCCTTGATCCACTTTGTGAAAAATGAGTCTGAAAAATGACAACAATGAATAATTAAAGTTTTCTATATTCCATGTAGGCACATGGATATAAGAAATTAGTGGGATTGGAAAATAGTATTATGCAGAGGGAGATCAAACTAGATACTCACTGTCCCCAGTGGATCCTCATCTGTAAGTGACACTGGCTTTCTCCCAAAATCAACTTCGTCTACACCTCCTCCTAAAAAAAAAAAAAATAATAATAATAAACAATAATCCCCAACATATTAATGAGTCTGAATATTCTTATAATAATAGTAGTGCTTAATAATACATAATCATTATTATTAGTATAGTTACTATATACTATAGTATAATTATACTTTTATAGCTATAATAATGGTAATAATTATAATAATAAAAATATATAAGATATACACACATTACCTTCAGAATTTATTCTAGGTATCCTTCCATGGTCCAGTGGTTTCAGATTTCCGTTGAGGGCCGTGTTTTTATCATTTAAGGATTGCAGAGTTTTTTTACTTGAGCCGAGGGGGGGAAGTGTTCGGGCTAAAGGTGGTAGTGGTGAGCTCTAGAAAACAAAATATGCTTGATATTATTATCAATGCTAATTTCTAACTAATACAATCTTCATTAAAAAAGGAACTTGAGGTTACAATTCCTATAGTTTATCATCTACACAATCACCTCTCTATCTCTTCTCCTTCCTCTCGCTGTTCCATTCAAGGATGAGTTCAAAGAAGCACTAAGGTCTGTGATCCCATCACCAACACCATCCTGTGTGGCATGTAGGGATTTCGCTAGACCAGGTCGTAGGTGACTTGATAACTTTAGTGGATCCATTGTCTCTTCCGACTCAGACTCTGTGGACATGTGACCATTTGACACACTCCGCTTGACAGCAAGAATCACCATGTGACATCCCCCACAAGAAACCTGGTCCAAAGATAGCCAGAAAATTAGTACCAGTAGTATATAAATTGCAATTTTACACTACAAGAAGCTATCTCATTTAATGATTAATTTGTAGCCTGTATGAATCTAGACCTATGCATGTTAAAAAGAAAACATCCTGAGTGGTGCAGCACTTAGTTATATAACAACACAACTAAAGGCTTGGCATATAGGCTACTGTGATGCAAGTTACTTTAAACAGGTGATCAACACGGTCTCATTCTTTAAATAGATATTTGACCATCATCAGGATTCAAACTTAGACCATTATGCTGTTTTCTGAGTGCTCAACACATAGGGCACAATGCAAAAATACTTTTTGTTAGATATTAATACAAAAATTGCCACAAATAACACCTGACAACATAGCAGACATAGAACTTACATTTTGTACTTCGAATCCATGGAATCGATCCACTTTTGTTGGTTTGAATAAATTACAAAAGCTTTCATCTCCTTGCCCTAGTTTTCCCATTCTTCCGTCTCCAAATGTAAATAAACTGCCTTTTTCTACAACAGAAAGAATAATAAATGATGGCTAATATATCTCCCCCTTAATAATTAAATCAACTCTGATCTAATATCCAACTTTCAAGATTTTTCTTTCTATATTATATATAAACAATATGAAGTAAAATGTTGAATCTACAAACAAATTGTTCACAAAAGAACAGAATGTTGAAAATTAAATATAATAGAGGTGATGATATTTATGATGGTGGTGACAAAGAATAATTATGATGATAATGATGGTGATGATAATGGTAATGCTGATGATGATAATGAAGATAGCGATGACAATAATGATGATAATGATAATATTATTGATGATAATGAAGATAATGATGACAATAATTATGATAATGATAATATTATTGATGATAATGAAGATAGTGATGACAATAATTAATATTATTGATGATAATGAAGATAGTGATGACAATAATGATGATAATGATAATATTATTGATGATAATGAAGATAGTGATGACAATAATGATGATAATGATAATATTATTGATGATAATGAAGATAATGATGACAATAATTATGATAATGATAATATTATTAATGATAATGAAGATAGTGATGACAATAATGATGATAATGATAATATTATTGATGATTGAAGATAGTGATGACAATAATGATGATAATGATAATATTATTGATGATAATGAAGATAGTGATGACAATAATGATGATAATGATAATATTATTGATGATAATGAAGATAGTGATGACAATAATGATGGTAATGATAATATTATTGATGATAATGAAGATAGTGATGACAATAATGATAATATTATTGATGATAATGAAGATAGTGATGACAATTTAAATGATGATAATGATAATATTATTGATGATAATGAAGATAGTGATGACAATAATGATAATATTATTGATGATAATGAAGATAGTGATGACAATAATGATGATAATGATAATATTATTGATGATAATGAAGATAGTGATGACAATAATGATGATAATGATATTATTGATGATAATGAAGATAGTGATGACAATAATGATAATATTATTGATGATAATGAAGATAGTGATGAAAATAATGATAATATTATTGATGATAATGAAGATAGTGATGACAATAATGATGATAATGATAATATTATTGATGATAATGAAGATAGTGATGACAATAATGATAATATTATTGATGATAATGAAGATAGTGATGGCAATAATGATGATAATGATAATATTATTGATGATAATGAAGATAGTGATGACAATAATGATGATAATGATAATATTATTGATGATAATGAAGATAGTGATGACAATAATAATATTATTGATGATAATGAAGATAGTGATGAAAATAATGATAATATTATTGATGATAATGAAGATAGTGATGACAATAATGATGATAATGATAATATTATTGATGATAATGAAGATAGTGATGACAATAATGATGATAATGATAATATTATTGATGATTAAGATGATAATGATGACAATGATGCTATACAGCGGTGGCACCAGAAATTTGCCGACAAGGTGTCCGACATGCCCGGCAGGGGTTCAAACCAAGGGGCAAACGAAGCCTTGGTCGATGGCCCGGATTTGTAATCATAGATAATGATCATAGAATCATTGTGAGGCTGATGATGATGATAATAATGATGCAGTGATAGTACTTACCTGTTATGACTGCTGTATGGCTCTCTCCACATGACACAAATTTACACTTGGCCCTGCCAAGTCTAGTAACCTTTTCAGGTATATCCACCTGTAACAATGATGGCCCAAGACCTAACTGTCCATTGCTACCATCACCAAAAGTGTACAAATCTCCATTCACTGGAAATAAAAAAAGAGCACAGAAGAGGATCACTTGAGGCCTGCCATCCAAAAAATGTTAAACTGAGTAATTAACATTAAAGAATATGTCAGTATTGTGTACTTTAGTACTGTACAGAGAAGATGTAATGCTTTTACTCATAACTTTGACAATAGTAAATCGATTCTAGTAAATGATCATTTTAAAACTTATAATGTGGAAAATATTAATACATACTGTACATTGTTTTAATTCTTTTTTGCAAGCGACAATGAAATTGCTGTTGGACGCAATTTGCCCACTTGCACCCTAGTGAAACTGATGTATGTGTAAAACAAAAACTCATTTCTCCCATAATGCTTTGTGCCTCACATACCTGTGATAGCTGCTGTATGGTTATTACCACATGACGAGTGCTTGACGGGATCTTTGATGCTGTCTACATGTTGCGGTATATTGGTACAGGTGAGTTTTTCATCTGACAACCCTAGCTTTCCATTTTCATTCTCACCGAATGTATACAATTTCCCATCCTCTGTTGGGTAATGATAATTAAAACAAAATGATTATAATAATTATCATAATCACTAGATTAATATTAAAATAAAGATTTACAAAAATGATATAATAAAAAAAATTAAAAAAAACCCAATAATTATCATAATCACTAGAATAATATTAAAATAAAGATTTACAAAAATGATATAATAAAATAAAAAAAAAAAAAAAAAAACCCTACACAATAAAAGTCAATACTTTTTCTTAAATTACAATTTTTATATTATTACCTGACATTTGAAAAAATGTAGTTTAAGAATAAGCTTAAAAATAAATAAGCCAAATCACTAAGTACAATAATTATATAATATTATTTTTTCATCATTAATATTACCTGTGACAACTGAGGTGTGGTAGTAGCCACACGACACTTGCTTCACCTTTGTGTCAAATGACAATTTCCTTGGGATTGGTACCTCAGCCACACTGCCAAACCCTAGCTGACCTTCGCTATTACCACCCCACATATAGAGGGCGCCATCAGCTGAAAGAGAAGCGATTTTTTACTGTTTAGTACATAAACTATAACACTAAATTCATCTGTCATCCTCACTATCAATATTACCATCACCATCACCACTACAACCATTACTAAAATATTTTAAATATGTTTAATAATAATATTATTAAACATATTTTCCCCTAAACTTCTCTGACAAACTTAAAAATATTATCTGCTAACCAAGATAAAAAAATATCTCCAATAATGAACAGACCTTTCTAAAATGTCAATCAAACTTAATCCACAAGAACATGGAAAGGAGTATGTGCTTGCCTAAAGACACGTTTACATACGTTTACACAGTTGTTTAGCAACAAAAACCAAGGGGCTAGGATTAGTGAAACGGTCCCTTGCAAATGACTCACCTGTTAAGGCTGCTGAATGGTCAGTTCCTGCTGATAATAACTTGTACTGTTGTTCTGGTAATGCTGTGATCTGCTTTGGTGTTTCAAGCCCTGACGTAGAGTCAGCGATGCCCAGTTGGCCCTCTCCCCCAGCACCAAAGGCAAACACCTGACCGGCTTGTGTGCACACAAGGGTATGGGATCTGCCACTGGTGATCACAGATATGGTTTCATGCTTTAAGGCTATAGAAGTAGATGAAAATAATGTATTATTTTAGGTTATAATTATATCATAATGCTAGTATTAAGAAGTCAAGTAGCCGAGTGGTAAGGCAGGGATGCTGCTAACTACGGTCTTAACATAAATCTGCTCCTTGCTCAGGGTTGGTAGAACCAAATCTTCTCGGATAAGGGCTTAAAATGAGGGATCCAGTGTACACTACTGGCTTGTGTGCACATTAAAGAACCCACTGCATCTTTTGGAACAGTAAGGGGTCACTCCGATGCTATGCACCAGTGACCAGCACAGTGATTCTGCAAGTTATGGGTTATTAAAATTTTTTTTTTTTAATATATTAATTTTTAACAATTCTAATGTAATTATTTGAATGTTTTGATATTTTGATATTTATTTTTCCACCTTACGTGTCTTTATTTGTTGAATGTAAACAAATGTTTTCAGCCTTTGGCTGTTGTTTTGTCTTGTGTTTTATAACTTAATAAATAAATAAATAAATAAATAAAAATTCTTTGATCCTCATCTTTATCTTGAGTGATGAATAGATGATAAGGAAGATGTTTATCATCATCATTACCATTACTCAATATGGTATGCATATAGTCATTATGGTAAATTGGTAACTTCCAATCCTCACCTTTAATCTTGCCTGGCTTGTTAGTGGACTTTGTATGACCATGACCAAGCTGTCCCCATTCATTGGCACCAAATGTATACAAACGACCAGATTCTGCAGTGAATAAAAAAATACACTGTTTAGTTACATGAAATAGAGAAAAAGAATTCAGTGGCGCCCATGATTTCTGTTTAATGCTGTATTACATGCTGCCCTGAGGTTTTCAATGAACTATGAGATTTGGTGTGCACTTTATAATCGCAAGAAAAAGGCCCAATATAAATGCTCACACCAGTACCAGTCTCCGTAATTAAACCAATACCAACATGGAATGCTCTTTCCGCACGATTTTTCTTTTAAGCCAGACACTAACTGAACCCACAGTGAGCAGAGTTGAATTTGTCGGCTGACGGTCGTACGAGCATCATACGATGCAGTGAGTTCCCAGCTTAAAAATTAAACAAATATTTAATTTTTCATTTGTAAAATGCTCCCTGAAAATGTTGTAAAACACATATTTGAACATATATAAACAAAATTGTTCCAGTATCTCTTAGTTGGGCCACTTCCTTCCCACATACACGAAGTGAATTCCATTCTGATTTTATGTTGATCCTCCTTATTACTCAAGCTGGGTATGGCCCTGCCTCATGTATTTGCCAAACAAAAATATTGAATTAAATTGAAAAACATGATTTACTTTATCATGTTTGTGCTAATTCTAGGAAGAAACAAATGTTTGTAACAATACTCTCGTAAATTCTTTTGTGAAATCTTGCATATGAGTAAAAAATGTACATGAACTAGATGAGACACTTAGCGTTGTATTGTAATTTATTGTAGGTCTACCATGTAGTGAGACGTAATCATATCCTGGATTAGACACTTGAACACTTACTGTTGTTTTGTAGTTTATTTGCTTCTATATTTTAATATATTATATGGAGAATTCTGAAATAAAAGTATGAATGAATACCCTAAAGCTACTGTACATTAGAAGCAAATCATTGAAATATATAACAGAAAAAATGGGATATCAGTGTCATATAGCAAAGTGTACCATTCCTCTAGGCACTTCAATTACTTGGTTCATCACATGGAACACCTATGGAACATAAACTGTGCTCCTTATATGCAACAATGTTCAGCTACATCAGAAATATTTTTTTTTTAATGAAGATAGGCTTATAAGTTAGCAGTTACATCACATGCTATAAATAGTATCTAGTTGCACTTTCATCTCAGCCCATGTGATCATTTTTCATAATTTGTTTGCAGACTAATAGTGATTGCACAACCAGTTTTCCTTATACGGTAGTGTTTGGCTACTTTAGGAGATGTTTATTTAAACTTTGTTCAAATTTGTCAAACTATAGTTATTACATAGGACAATAAATGGCTCTCTCTCTCTCTCTCTCTCTCGTATAATAACTATTATTGACTGCACAACCAGTCTGCCTTATATGGTAGTGTTTGGCTACCCTAAGTGATGTATATTCAAACTTTATTCAAATGTAAACCATTATAGTTATTACATAGGACAATAAATGTCTGTCAGGGGTGGATCCATAATTTTTCAAACAAGGGAGAGGGGGACAACAGTTTCAGAATATATAAGTGAATAGCACATAGCACTGATATGCATAATAGAATTTTAAAAATTTAGAGGCAAAACGGGGTAGGGCACATGCTCCCAGTGCCCCTACTAGATCCATCCCTGGATCTCTCTGGTAGGTCAACTCCATGATAAATTTAGAACTAAGCTTTCATTCCCCCAGTTGAAATGTAAACATCTTATTCTCAAATGATGGGCTGTGAAGTCAGTGGACCTTTCTGTGAAGACCCTTCTCTTGGATATATTGTTGCTGGTCCCACAAAACGACAGTGTTAACATTTTGGGCCAATTAGTGCACCCGTCTGCCATGAAAATATGTAAATTTATGAAAAAAATTAAAGTTTTTCTTTATTTTTATTATGCCCGCTGCTGCCTTGAAATCTCCAAAATTAAGATATGTATATTTCTTCCTAATTATATAAATTCAAAGCATTTAACCATCCCATTACTACACTGTTTACATTCACCAATGACATTTTATTTTTATTATCTCCTCTGTCTGGATGTTTTTGGCAAAACTATTTGCTAAATAAGAAAATGCAATTTTATTTTAATTTTTTTTCTGCCCTCTTCTGACGATCAAACAAGGTTTAAAACAAATCTCGCCTTATAATGTTAGTGACAAACTTTTGTTGGAATTAAAAAAATAATGTGTTTGGATATAGTACATTTGTCAATATTTATAATGGCAATGAGACCGACTTCAATTTTTGTCTACTCCTTCGCTGTCCTTTTTTGGCTTTATTAAGCTTTTAGTATAAAAAATATGTTAAGAAAACATGAACACTGTGGCTTGATAATGTTAGATAAATTTAAGTATCCTCCAAGGTAATGTGATTTAGCTTAGGTATTGTCAAGTGTATTGTTAGTTCAGTATTCTTTCCTTTTAACCTGCTGTTTATTCCATTTAGAAAACCACAAGAACCTCAAGCACTGCTATGAATATCCATGATTTCACTATGTGGTTACGGTAAGTCTGGTTCAGATCATAAAAAGGATAATCATTTTTCATTGTAAATATATTTTGAAAGTGTCAGATCTCTTGTGTGAAGGATTAACAATGAATGTGATTTTCATTCCAAATAGAGCAAATTAAATATATTAATGAATATTAGTATTTCAATCGATCAACAATGAATATTTAAAATGAGACTTAAAAAAGTTCTCAACGCTGGATTACCTGTTAAAATGTAAACTTTTTTCCTTCTTTTGTTTTCTGTTTTTTTTTTTTTTTTTTTAACCACCAACTTTCTATATTTTAACTGACCGTTTTGACCCTCAGTTTCTTGCAAGGACCCCATGGGAAATAAATTAACTTGTGTTGATTTAATGGGTCGTCCTTGCATCCATTCGTTATCTTTTTAGGCAATTAATTAATCTTACCTTCTGACGATCAAACAAGGTTTAAAACAAATCTCGCCTTATAATGTTAGTGACAAACTTTTGTTGGAATTAAAAAAATAATGTGTTTGGATATAGTACATTTGTCAATATTTATAATGGCAATGAGACCAACTTCAATTTTTGTCTACTCCTTCGCTGTCCTTTTTTGGCTTTATTAAGCTTTTAGTATAAAAAATATGTTAAGAAAACATGAACACTGTGGCTTGATAATGTTAGATAAATTTAAGTATCCTCCAAGGTAATGTGATTTAGCTTAGGTATTGTCAAGTGTATTGTTAGTTCAGTATTCTTTCCTTTTAACCTGCTGTTTATTCCATTTAGAAAACCACAAGAACCTCAAGCACTGCTATGAATATCCATGATTTCACTATGTGGTTACGGTAAGTCTGGTTCAGATCATAAAAAGGATAATCATTTTTCATTGTAAATATATTTTGAAAGTTTCAGATCAGATCAATGAATGTGATTTTCATTCCAAATAGAGCAAATTAAATATATTAATGAATATTAGTATTTCAATCGATCAACAATGAATATTTAAAATGAGACTTAAAAAAGTTCTCAACACTGGATTTCCTGTTAAAATGTAAACTTTTTTCCTTCTTTTGTTTTCTGTTTTTTTTTTTTTTTTTAACCACCAACTTTCTATATTTTAACTGACCGTTTTAATATTCCCCCCTCAGTTTCTTGCAAGGACCCCATGGGAAATAAATTAACTTGTGTTGATTTAATGGGTCGTCCTTGCATCCATTCGTTATCTTTTTAGGCAATTAATTAATCTTACATTCAATTTCAATAATGCTGTTTTTTCTTGTACTTTTGATGTTGAAATTTTAACAAATTGAATGGATGCTAAATAAAAAAAAAAAAAAAAATAATGCCCCTGGAGAATAATGCATGCCTTCAATTTTACGAATACAAATCATCACAATGAGAAAATTGACAATTTTGTAAGCATTAAAGCCTTGTCCAGGATATAACATTATATTTAATAACAAGAACATGTGACATGCCTAAATATGGTCAATGATTACAAAACATCATGACCATATATAGCCACATCATGACTATATATGGGCATACAACAGTTTGTAGTCTGAACAGAGCTTTAGCATTTGGCACGGTGGTGATTAGTGCCAAAATTAGAAAAACAAGACATACCAAAATAATTGAATAATGATTGAAATTCATATTATTTTTGAATGCCAAATATTAAAACCGGAAGGTTTAGGAGCTTTTTTTCTGCCTTAAGCAATTATTGAAGTTAACAAGAGAAAATTAAGGTAATGTATGTTGTAAGTGGAATTCATGTAGTTAGAATTGTGTTTTTGTGATACCGAATGTTTTTTCTGTTATATTTATATTTATTTATACACTGGAGTAGATTTGCAATAAGGAAGGAAAATTTCATAATTGTATTTTTATGACAATAAAACATCAGTATCAGTATGAAGGAGAAAAAAATAAGTACAGCATTTTGGTATTCCATTACATATTGTAAGTACATTTGTAGATGATTGTCCTGGTCAAATTGCCTAGGTCAGATAATACATAAGTATGTTTTATTTGTCTTATATATGTCTTATTTTTAACATCCGATCCTCACATACTCACACATCACATCATCTCCGTGAACTTCATTGGCTGCCTTTTAAGCAAAGGGTTTATTTCAAATTAATGGTCCTTGCATTCAAGTCACTGTCTGGCCTATGCCCACAATATACAGTATCTCTGACTTTTTACTTTTACGCAAAAAGCAAATTCGTACCAGATCAGCTTTGAATGTTAATTTCCATCAACCTATCTTTAACAAGCGTATTGGTAACAAATCTTTTCAGTGCGTTGTGCGAGGCGCCACTCATCTGGAATAACCTTCCAGTGCACATTCGATCTTCACCATCTGTGGCTGTCTTTAGGTCTAACTTAAAGACTTACTTCTTTAACTAATTATCCCATTTTTATTCTTATTTTATCTATTGTTGCATTACTTATTTATGATTCCAAACTTTGCCACTGCTTCTTTTTATTTGTTTACTTGTTCTGTGCTTGGGTTAGGCAATGATCGCGGCTACTTGGTTGTGAGGTGCCTAAATATGTGGGGTGCAGTGCTTCGTATCTGCAAAAAAAGGCGCTTTACAAATGTTCTGATTGGATTGAATTAGATTGGATGTTTGAGTTTAATACCAACAGGCTTTAAAAGATGAGTTTTGCCTGGTGGTGTATCTAAAGCAGGAGGGGACACGCCCCATAAAAAGTTTGCACCCCATTGAAAATAAGCTGATCATAGCATCCGTCATATCACACATTCCCTCGGCTAGCATGCCAATTCCACTATACAATTATGCCCTGCATCAGCCCATCAATACTCATAGATGCGTCACTGGTTTTGATTCTACCAAAGGGGACCTCGCATTACGTAAAAGTGGCTTATTTATTCATCGACATACACATTTTTGGCCAAGCTGTTACATTCATCATATTTTGTCCTGTTAATAGTTGTTTAATTTTGTATTATCGTGACTCAAATTATGAATGAAACACCTACTAAATAATTGATTATGCACTTTTAACATTTCATAATCTTTGTCTACTTTCAGGCGGGTAAAATGTGATCCCTTGTGAAATTTTGGTTATTACTATAATTGCTTACTAGTACCATAATATAATAACAATTCATAAAAACAAAAAATGATACTGAAATTGATGTTCATTTCCGTCACTTAATTTTATTAGCACCTTGAAATACATACAAGATAAAAACAATGACAGATGACTTGCTTATCAAAATTAATTTAAAAAAAAAATTGAACTGCGACTGGTCAATCAGGGCGCACAGCCAGGGTAAAATTTGTGGGGGTTCAAGCCTTGCGGGCGCAGCGAGCAATAAGATTGGGGCCTGAGCGCCGGCTAGGGCTCATGGCCAGGGTCCTGGGGCCAAGAAAAATTTACCTTATTTTATGTGACGGAAGATAGAATTTACAAATTTCATCACATTAATTTCTGAAACACCTAACAAAAAAATCAGCCTGAACACAATGTGTAAGCAAGAAAATAAATTTGTTGTGAGATTTCACTCTTCCCTAGTTCCACTAACAAAGGGTACTATGTTTTTATAATCATTAACCTTATTAAAGGCCTATTTAAATAGGTCTTAAAAGCAGGCATGTTGTTCTATGACCTACTGCAAGTGTAGGCCTATTATCTTATTGCCTTTATTTTCTTTAATAGTGTTAGTGTCTATAATATTAGGTTCAACTTGGTTAAGGTTCAACTTGATAGATAATCTGATGGTATTTTTTGCCAAAAGATATAACAAACTTCTAAGGTGGATTGCTTACAGGAATCATAAGAAAAATCCAAAAGTCCAAAATTGTTTGTGGTCGCTTATTTAGTGGTGGCTTACGAGAAATGAACTGAAAAGACAAACAAGACCATATGAGAGTGGGCATTGAGGGAGGTGTTCGCATACGGAAAGTGGTGGCACAGGTTCCTTGACCCTCTCTGGCTGTGCCCATGTCAATATAAACATTTTTGGAAACTTATTTTATAAGAAACTCATTTTATAAGAAACTCATTATATATATAATCATTAATTCATTTGTCCATAACATTAACCATCCAACCGCCAGTATTAGTAACTGAAATTATTGAAATAATAAGACTCCTAAAAACTTACACACTCTTATCACGCTTTAAGAGCAGTTTTTCCAACGCCATAAACGGTGCTTCTGCACATACTGATAAAACAAATGCTCCGGTATATGATAACACAAGATGACCAAGGAAAAAGTACACCATCAAAAAATCAGAGAAATAAACTGCAGTTGGAAGGGAATAGTAGAATACAAACATGATGATAGGATGAAGAAGGTAAGCACAGTAACTGATGCGGGCAAGTGGTATCCAGGCTGACCAGGAAAGTAAAGAATTTACTGGCCCACCATAACCAGTTGCACATGCAAATACAACCCATGCAAGAGCAATGGCCCAAGCAAACCGACACAAAGTGATATACACAACCGTAGCAGCTTTACTGAGGTGGTTGCCATGGAAGTTGCCATAGAGACCGTAAACAACTGCAAGACCAATCACAGTTGCAGTAACCCATCCTAATAAGGTCATAGAAAGTGACATACGAACCCGCCCTCGATACTTGTACAATATGTATCCCACAGCCATACCGACAAGGTATGTGGAAATACGGGTCCATGGTTGTACATAGATTACATCTCCCACAAAATTAATTTGGGTGGGGTCCTCTGGAATAAATTCTGTAGTGACATCATGTTTGATAGATTCTCCTATCAAACTGGAGAAACATGTTAGCAGAAGGATGCACCAAACAGCTACCCCAGCAAAGAAATAGTGATACAGAAGATAGATAATGAAGGGACTGATGATAAAGAATTGCATATCATTTGCAAGGTACCAACTCCAATCAAGACATTCTTTCGCAAGATTTGAGGGGTAGAGATTATTGATGTAGAGTAAATTTGTCCACCAGTAATCTTGGCATAATGTTATTTGAGTGTCCACACCAGGGGCAGGATTTGGATCAAATATATACGAGTAAAGTGGTCCAGTTGCAAAGTATGGTGTTAAGGTCGTATACATGAAAATAACAAGCATATAAACAGGAGTCAGTCTGAGGTATCTATGGACATAAAACATCACCCAGTTCAGCTTACCATTATTGTTCCGCAAATATTTCAAAGTTAAGTAAGTTACGAGTAAGCCACTGAGAAAGAAAAAGGAATCAACCGAAAAGGTAGCATTACCAATAGCCTGGAATGTGAACCGTGAAAGTACATCAACAATTTTAGTAGGGTTAGTGAACAATGCCATTCCAAATGCATAAGAATGGCCTAAAATCACCCACCATAAGCTAAGGACTCTAAAACCATTAAGTGCTCCTAAACTGCCTTCCCCTTGCTTGGCCTTCAAAATCTTACTACCATTAGTCAACAAAGAAAAACAAAGAAGAAATTGAATAAGAAATCCATGTGTGTTCTCCCCACCGACATCAATTGTTGTAACACGACTTGGTCCATTCACAGGGGTAGTTTTGGTCTGTTCGTTATCTGTCAATTGTGATTGGTTTTTGGATGCCAGCCTTTCAAATCCCTCATTCTCAGTTTCTGACTCTTTATACTTGTTGAATGCTTCAATTGCTGTTCCCACAAGTATTAGACAACCCAGAAACGCTAGCAAAGTTAAACAAGCTATAGCACCGGATGAATAATCAAATTCCTTATGGCACATGACAGATACTGTAATATTTGCTTCGTCAATAACATTCAAATATTCCATCAACTCAGCACTGTTGCAGCTATCAGGAACACATACTCCAACATTAAGAATAGGTTGTGGATTTTTATCTTTTGTAATTGAAGCTAAACAGTATTGTGCAGCAAACTGTGCTTGATGGTCGTCAATCTCTCTAGATTGGTTTAAGCATTGATCATAAAGTCCAAGCCACAATATATTACCTTGGAGTATACCAGGTGGAAGCTTACCATATGAATCTAACATCATCAGAGCATAATGTTCTTCTCCTAAAATATCAGATCCAAACGTTTCCAGGTCCATGAGGCACTGACTTTCTGGTTCCTCTGTTATTTCAGTTGCTACCATTGTTGTAGCTTCCATCGTTGTGTTTGTCACTGTCATCATTGTAGTCGCCACTGTTATATTTGTCACCGTCATTGTTATAGGTTCCACTGTTACATTTGTCACTGTCATTTTTGTAGTTTCTTCTGTCAATTTTTCAGTAGGTGTTTTATTTGTAACATAGGCTTGATCTTTCAATGTTGTCTCAGATACCAAGTGCTCTGTGGAATACAGCAGAGGTCGCAAAACAAAATCTTGTACTATTGCTTGTAATTCCTCTGCTTTTGCTTTATATGCATTTGTATACCTTTGTTTGGCAATGAACTGCATTGCTTCAGTCTTGCTTCTGATGACTTGCATTTTTGCATGGCAACAGATGAAGAAAACCAGCAGTAGTGAAACAATCCCCCTTTTCATTGCAGGCAATATATTGTACTTTACTGTATTTTAGCTGGTAGTACCACAAACATGCAGTCTAAGCAGTGACCATAGAATGACTACGCATTTCAATAAGCTCATAATATTATATCACACTGCATTGTACATCAGGATGGAGAAAGCAAATTTGCCTTCAGTGTTTACAATCAATGGTTCAAAGTTTACTGAACCACTGAACCACTATTTTTAGCCTCATTTAATTACATCACATGAGTAGAGTTGAATATGCTTGGTGGTTAAGATGGCTGCCTTCCTCCAATCACATGGTTCTGGGTTCAATTCCTGTCACCGATACCATAACTGGAGTTTTTCTCATGACCAAAAACAACTCCACACCAAAGCTTCATAATGAGACTTAGTTTATGTAAAGAATATTGTGTGTATGTTTTCTCGTGAAGGGATATGCCACATATCCTTTGCCTTGGTCTGTAAAGAAATTACCGTAAACAATTCTAAAAATATTCAAGGTAAAAAAATAGCATTCACAATCCTAATGCTTTTAATCTAGCAAAGTATTAATTTTTCTGTTTTCTTAATTTCTTATACTATTTATTTTATCAATGTCATTAAAACTTTAGATAAAAATTATAAAGTTATATATCAAATTTTAGTTTTCGCGTTACATTAAGTATTTCTAGAACACTTTAGTTTATTTATTGTTTGTATTAAAGACCCAACACTATTACTCTAACTATCTAACTAGCTTTTAAATTAATATTTCACCTTCGTATTTAAATACTTATAATTTATAATCTAAAGTAATTTTAGAGAGAAAATTGGTAATTTTAATTTTTAACTGGAATCTTTTATTCTGTAAACAGTTGATGCTGTGTTGTAAGGCATCGAAGGTCGTGACTCGGTGTTTCTTTTTCTTTTTTTTTGTATAAATGAACATTCTTAAGATATTTGAGTTGGTTGAGAAAACAATTTGGAAGAGATAATAACATAGAAATTTTCAAATAATTAGAATGTTCATTTGTACAAAATTAAAATGTCTTAAAATTGAAAAAAAACAAAACCAAACAAATTTAATAATAAGATGCAATTTGGACTCACGACCTTTGGTTCCTTAGACAACATCGTTATCCGAAAGTTCATGCAACATGTCCTATTTGTGGTAATGGCAGTAATGTACATTCCTTACTGAAACCCATGTTTTGTTTTGTAGGTGTATAGGGCACCCTGGGGTTCAACTTGAAAAAAGGGCTATGAATATTTGTTTGAAATCACCTCTAGTTTATGTGTGCAAAAACTTCCTGCACGCCAGTCGCCAGTTTTGCAATTTCCTGCAAAACTGGTGACACTGGACGCTTAACTTCTGGTACCAACAACAATAAGTGAAGTTCAGAGGTCCGTCTGCGTGGACTTAAAAAGATCTATTAATCAATCAGCCAAGTGTTTCTAGAGCTTCTCATTGGAGCTAGCAATAATAATAAAAATTTGCCCTAATGGCTGCCCATATGAAAAAGATCTATTAATCAATCAGTCAGGTATTCCTAGCGTTCCTCATCGGAGCAAAAAAAGGGCCATGAATGTTTGTTGAAAATCACCTCTATTTTACAGTATGTGTACAAAATTTCTGGCAAGTCCGTTCAAAACTGGCGATGGACACTTTTAAAGTCAATAAATAAATGGTCGTAATGGCCACCCACCATAAAAGATCTATTAAGCAATCAGCACAAAAAAGATCTCTTAATGAACCAGCCAGGTATTCCTGAAGCTCCTCATCGGAGCTAAAAATGGAAACACCAACTGAAAAACTCATAATCTTTACAGACCACTTCTAAGGTAACAATCTCACTTGTGAAATCTCTAGGAACTATTATTAAAAACTAGGTGGCAAGGGGTCATTCACTTCGCTCCCTTACACCCTAGTATGTTAATGTCATGATTTGTTTCGAAAATATTATTCATGACTACTACAAGAGGTGTGGTTGCATCAGGGAGGTATATAAAGAATATACATACATACATAAGATAGTATAATACATACTGTACTATAAGTATCTAAATGCATGCCATCGTGTCGGGATTCAATATTTCGACATAATATATGTCATCATCAGGAATGATTGACATACATATATAATACAAAAATACTATAACCTACTTATACACATAATTTAAAAAAATCACACCATGTTTAAGTTTACTGCTTGACAGTTCACTTTTCTTTTTTTTTTGGTATTTGAAAACAATAGGTAACAAGTGCTTTTGGTCATAGACTTTTATCAAGTCTCGATTGATGTGGGGACTCAATTATTGCAAAATGTCTGAGTGTCTACAGCCCCCAGTAGTAGTTGTAGTAGTACAGTAGTTGTAGTACAAAGATCTTATAATAACAAGACAGCACTCTACGAGTTTTACTTTTTAAAAATATATATAAATTAAGCATCAATGTGATTGGGGCACGTATGTTCCGGTCCTATCATATGTAGTGAGACTGATCACAAGTAACAGAAAACAAGGGTTGACGTATTTCAGGAACATAATAATATATTTATTTGAACACAAATATTTAGGTCGTCCCTGCAACCTTCTTCAGTGTGATAAGGTGATGAATTGAATAACTAATTGTTTATAAAAACAATTAGTTATTTAATTCATCACCTTATTTTGTCATGCTAATATTTATGCCTAATTAATTCCTTGATGTGCCAATATACTCTATGCTCAGTATGTTCAGTTCACACTGAAGAAGGTTGCAGGGACGACCAAAATATTTGTGTTCAAATAAATATATTATTATGTTCCTGAAACACGTCAACCCTTGTTTTCTGTTACTTGTGATCCTGTTTATTGAATAATTGTTACTATCAATTACTCATTCCTAAGCACATGCACTTTATTCATAACTATGTCACCTACTAGGGGTAATGTTTTGGTCAAACACTTTTGGTACTTGTGCATATAAGCTTGCAAATATGGATAATTTTCATTCCTGATTAATGTTGAAATATTAAATCCCGACACGATGGCGTGCATTTCGATACTTGGAGTATGTATTATACTATCTTATCTGAGATTAATCAGTGGACCTTTCGGTCTAAGCATATGATTTTATGTATTTTATGTGTATTGATGTTTTGTTTTGCTTTTTTATACTCTCCATTTTTGGAGGCAATTTGAATAAATTGGAATAAATTGAATTGAATTGAATAAATCGCTGAGAACGCTATCTTAGATAGATAGAAATCTTCTTTATTCTAGATGTTTAATCAACATTTACATTGTTCTTCCTTAAGATCCAGTTAATAGTTAAAACATTAAAATAAAAAATAAAAGTTAAGAAATTATATATAAATAATTATATATATACATAATTGGTAAACACAAGCAAAACTTGGTATACACAAGAAGCAAAATGAAAATGCAATATTAAATCAAATTTTTGAAGGAATGCTAAGTTCAGGAATTTATTGAACTACGAGTATCAGAGGGAAGACTGTTCCACAGTTTAACCGATCGGTATTCATTGTTCCAATTAGAAAAAAACTGATGTATATTTCGATTTGCTTCTTGTGTTTAGACTGTGATAATTGTCCATTTGCTCATAAAAATTATTTAGGTACTCAGGGACTGTGCCTGTTAAACATTTAAAGGTTATAATAAGTATATTCTCTTCCCATCATTGATTTACATACTTCCAATTCATAAGATTGTAAACAGGTGTTCTGATATCAGCATTAAAAATAATCTTGTTATTATGAGATCGTTGTTGTAGCAGCAGAGGACACAAAAACACATCAAATACAGCTAACCTGACACATAAGCGTACATGCTTATCTATTTATTAGTCTGCTTTTCGTAAATGGTTTTAAGACTGCAAAAACAATGAATGCGTAAGTACAACATGTGAACATGGCACCTAGCAAAGCACCATCCGTCCAGTAAAAATATTTGATTAATATTCAATCGTGTGATCTGAAATTTGATACTATATTATGAGAGTTTCTGATACCGGTAGGTTTCGAATCCCAGACGTTTATTGAGTCAGTAACTTGGTCGTGTCCGTTGGCGGAAATAAGTGTAATATAATATAGATTTCATTAAAAAAAAAACTGATACTGAAATTGATGTTCATTTCCTTAACTTCATTTTATTAGAGCCTTGAAATACATAAAAGATACAAACAATGACAGATGTGTGGATTTACTATATTGGACATACAGTAGTACTTGCTTTCAAGTGAAGAGTGAACTAAGGCTAATCAATAACAAAACAAAGCAAATTGAGCAAAATGAAAAAAAAAATATACAAAAGATAAAATTATCACAAGGTTATGATTCTGCTATAAAATTAAATCATAACAACACAAGGTATGGCAATAGCACTTTTAAGACTAATTATTAAATTAATAATTTTAGCTCTATATTTTCAACTTTGTTGTTGTAGTACCTCCTCTCTATTATTTCTTGATGTACAGATATTACTTATCCCACTTGTACAGTTTCCTGATAAAGTCCACTGTGTGGATGAATTACTATATAGGTGCTAATAAAATTTCTTACATTGTCCTATAGCAACTACATCTTTTTATTCACCATAGTAAAATTTTATATAAAAAGAATACAATATGAAAATACCAATCCCAATCAAATTCCAGATTTATCTGAATATGAAGATCAACAATTTAAAAACAATTGTTTTAGTACTGACCATTAAATTTCCATGTTAACATTTTTATAAAATATTTAATGAAAAACTCATTTTATATTACAAACATCAATTATTATTTTGTCAAAAGCATTAACCATCTATAGTAACTAACAGTAACTGAAATAATTGAAATGATAGCATTACTATAAATTTACACACTTTTATCACGTTTTAAGAGAAGTTTTTCCAATGCCATAAATGGTGCTTCCGCACATACTGACAAAACAAACGCTCCAGCATATGATATCACAAGATGACCAAGGAAAAAATACACCATCAAAAAATCAGAAAAATAAACTGTGGTTGGAAGGGAATAGGAAAAGACAAACATGATGATTGGATGAAGGAGGTAAGCGCAGTAACTGATGCGGGCAAGTGGTACCCATGCTGACCAGGAAAGCAGGGAATTCACTGGCCCACCATACCCAGTGGTACATGCAAATACAACCCATGCAACAGCAATGGCCCAAGCAAACCGACACAAAGTGATATACACAACTGTACCAGCTTTACTGAGGTGGTTGCCATGGAAGTTGCCATAGAGACCGTAAACAACTGCAAGACCAGTCACAGTAGCAGTCACCCATCCTAATAAGGTAACAAAAAGTGACATACGAACACGCCCTCGATACTTGTACAATATGTATCCCACAGCCATACCGACAAGGTACGTGGAAATACGGGTCCATGGTTGTACATAGATTGCATCACCCACAAAATATATTTGGGTGGGATCCTCTGGGAAAAACTCTGTAGTGACATCATGTTTGATAGTTTCTCCTATCAAACTGGAGAAACATGTTAGCAGAAGGATGCACCAAGCAGCTATTCCAGCAAAGAAATAGTGATAGAGGAGATAGATAATAAAGGGACTGATGATAAAGAATTGCATATCATTAGCAAGATACCAACCCCAATCAAGGCACTGTTTCTGAATAGGTTGAGGGTAGAGATTGTTGATGTAGAGTAAATTTGTCCACCAGTAATCTTGGCATAATGTTATTTGAGTGTCTACACCAGGGGCAGGATTTGGATCAAATATATACGAGTAAAGTGGTCCAGTTGCAAAGTATGGAGTTAAGGTTGTAAAAATGAAAATAACAAGCATATAAACAGGAGTCAGTCTGAGGTATCTATGGACATAAAACATCACCCAGTTCAGCTTACCGTTATTGTTTCGCAAATAATTTAAGGTTAAGTAAGTTACCAGTAAGCCACTGAGAAAGAAAAAGGAATCAACTGAAAAGGTAGCATTACCAACAGCCTGGAATGTGAATCGTGAAAGAACATCAACAATTTTAGTAGGGTTAGCTAACAATGCTACACCAAACCCATAAGAATGCCCTAAAATCACCCACCATAAGCTAAGAACTCGAAAACCATTAAGTGCTCCTAGACTTATTTCCCCTTGCTTGGCCTTCAGAATCTTACTACCATTATTCAACAAAGAAAAACAAAGAAGAAATTGAATAAAAAATCCATTATTCTTCCCACTGACAATCGGTCCATTCAAAGGAATGGTTTTTATCTGTTCATTATCTGTTAATATTGACTGGTTTTTAGATGCCAGCCTTTCAAATCCCTCATTTTCAATTTCAAACTCTTTATACTTGTTGAATGATTCAATTGCTGTTCCCACAAGTATTAGACAACCCAGAAACGCTAACAATGTTAAACAAGCAATAGCGCCGGATGAATAATCAAATTCCTTATGGCACATGACAGACACAGTAATATTTGATTCGTTATTAATATTCAAAAGTTCCATCAAGTCAGCACTGTTGCAGCTATCAGGAACACATACTCCAACATTAAGAATAGGTTGTGGATTGTTGTCTTTAATAAGTGAAACTACACAGTATTGTGCAGTAAAATTTGCTTGATGGTCGTTGACCTCTCTAGACTGCTTTAAGCATTGATCATAAAGTCCAAGCCACAATATATTACCTTGGAGTATACCAGGTGGGAGCTTACCAAATGAATCTAACATCATCTGAGCATAATGCTCTTCTACTAAAATGTCTGATTGAAAAGTTTCTAAGTCCACAAGGCACTGACTTGCTGGTTTCTCTGTTATTTCAGAACTTATTGTCATTGTTTTAGCTTTCATCGCTGTGTTTGTCGCTGTCATCATTGTAGTCTCCATTGTTATATTTGTCACTATCATAGGTTTCACTGTTAAATTTGTCACTGTCATTTTTGTAATTTCTTCTGACAATTTTCCTGTTTCACTTGTTGTTTTAGATTTTTCAGTAGGCGATTCATTTGTAACATAGGCTTGATCTTTCAATGCAGTCTCAGATACCAGTTGCTGTGTCGAATATAGCAGAGGCTGTAGAACTAAATCCTGTACTATTGCTTGTAATTCCTCTGCTTTTGCATTATATCTATACCTTTGCTTGGCAATGAACTGCAATGCTTCAGTCTTGCTTCTGATGACTTGCATTTGTGCATGACAACAACAGAAGAAGACCAGCAGTAGTAAAACATTTCTGTTCATTGAAAGCAACATACTGTACTTTTCTGTATTTTAGCTGGCAGCACATGCAGTCTAAGCAGTGACCATAGAATGACTAATCAATAGCCAACAGAATTATATAGTGCACTGTATTGTACTGTCATAATAAAAAAGCAAATGGACCTTCAGTGTTTACAATCCATGGTTCAAAGTTCACTGAACCAGTGGACTGTGACAAAAATCATAGAATCTATTTTTAGCCTTATAAATTAGCTCACCTGAAAGGAAATCATATAAGATTTGAAGTTCAAAACCTGATGGGTGACTTGGAGTGGAGTAGAGTAACTAGGGGGTTAAGATGGTTGACTTCCAATCTCATGGTCCTGGGTTCAATTCTTGTGACAGGAATTGGAGTTTTTCTTGTGACCAAAAACAACTCTACTCCCTATAAGCCTCATAATGAGACTTAGTTTATGTAGAGCATATTGTGTGTGTTTCTCTAGTGAAGGGATGTTGCAAAAATCCTTCACCTTGGAACTAAAACAAATTAAAATAGTTCTAAATTTTATATCCAATATCCACTTGGAATTACATTCACAAATACACAGTAATAAATAAAAGTTAAAAAAAAAAGCATTGTATATACAGTATAAATATAGTGGCGAGTCGAGTGGCCGAGCGGTAAGGCAGGAGTGCTGCTAGCTACAGCCTTAACATTGGCGCTGGTCCCAGCCGCTCCTCGCCCATGATTCGGTTGGTAGAACCAAGTCTTCTTGGATATGGACTTAAAATGGAGGTCCAGTGTATACATCTGGCTCGTGTGCACTTTAAAGAACCCATTGCATCTTTTGGAAGAGTAGGCGTTACCCCGATGTTATGGTTCATTTCAGCCCCTGTCGTTGTGGAATGATGTGAAAATGTGTCTACCAAGAAGCACCTCTTTATGGCTGCTAGGTAGTCACGGACCACACCCATACGCAATTCAGCGCAATGATGCTGCAAGTTATGGGTTATTCTCCTATTTTTACCTTTAATATAAATTTCGAACAATTTATGGCCACGGTTGAATGGTGGTGGAGGAGGATGGCGAGTACACTAGAGTACATTAAAATTTCAGTTGTTCAGAATCTTTTTGAGAACAGGGGAAATTGAAGATGGATCAAAAGAGGGGTAACAGGCAAGACTCAAAGAGTGTGGAGGAACAGGAAAGGCAGAGCGATGGGAATAGCACACCCTAAAACACTTTAGTTATAAATTCAATGAACATAATCAAAATAAAATTCCAACATTATTATTTTAACTGTATAGGCTTCCCATTAATATTCCACCTCTCACATTTAAATACTAGATAGACTATGGTAAGTGAATATCATCACAATATTTTCTCTCACCATTTTAAAAAGTCAATAATTCCTAAACAAATTTATTTGAATAATATAACCAAATTATTATCTGTATACTGCATTTGATTAAAAAAATATTACCTAATGTTACCTAAGAAAAAAACATTCACTTTCAAAATACATAAGAAATGAAATTATTAAGTTCCCCAGTATATGTACTAACTTTGCTAAATAAAAAATTGTTAAATTTATTATCAGCCTACACACAAAACTAATAAAAATAATAGTATTTTTGTATCTATTAACTAGTAAGATGAAGCTAATAACTTAACAAACTATTCAAAGTAAACAATCAAAATATATTTCAGCTCCACACCACAGTAATAATCTTAAAGATAAGAACAAATCAACATTGATCATAATTAACCAGACCATAGAGACAAACAGCTTCAAATTTACAGCACTCAGCTGGAATATAATCGCTTCACAATAAATGTTGCAAACCACTTTCAATTTCATTTTATCAAGGTCAAAATATTAACAGGATTTTGCTACATTATATTAATGTTTATGTAAAGCTAGGATTTCAAATTATTTTTTGGAATGATGTCATTCATGACCTTTGACAAATCTAACAGCAAACGCTTTCCTGCTATGGTTCAGTGAATCTTAATCATAGACTTGCATATAATAAGTAAATTTAAGGTCAAATTTGATTAATCACACAGTGAGTGTGCCATGATACAGCCATTCACTGGTTGTTGCTTAATCGTCATTGAAAATAATATTTTATAGTGAAAATTAGAATCATCTTGCCAACGATGAACAAAGAATATATTTTACTGCTGCTGGTCTATTTCACCTGCTGTTGCCATGCACAAATTAATGTCATCAGAACATAGACTGAAGCGATGGACTTCATTGCCAATCAAGTGAACATTTACCAGGCTAAAGCAGAGGAATTACAGTACAAGCAATATTACAAGATTTTGTCTTAGAACCTCTGCTGTATTCAACAGAAAAATAGTCAGAACCAGAAGTGTATGGATTGAAACACCATGCCTATGTTACAAGTAAAGTACATAAACAATCCGAAACAACAAAAACTGCAATAACAACATGAAAAATGACAGGAAAACCTATGACAATGATGACAGAGACAAACACAACCATGGACAATACAACAAATAGAGGAACCAGCAAGTACTCAGTGTATCAAAGACCTGGAAACATTTGGATTGGACATTTTAGGAGAAGAACATTATAATAATTTTTTTTATGTGCCTCAATGTTAACAGCTATTACTCCTATTACAAAAAAATAAGAAAAATAAATAATAAATAAAATAAAAACACATTTCTTAGATGTGTATTTTGAAAAATGTTTCATTTTGAGTGATCAATCTGACTATTTTATTTACACACATCTGGTAAAAGACAAAATTTAAATGTAGTAGATAGATGCTTATTTTTTGTCCACGGCAACTATGTGCATACATACAGTACAGCATTGTGAGTTTTGGGCTTTATGATGAATTCTATAGCACATTTCCCTATATCCACATATGAGCCATTTACTATGAAAGTTCCATAGAATATCAAACAAGTCTCACCATGCAGCTATTTAAAGAGCATGCAATGCAACGATTACTGATTGGTCAGACTATTTACTATGCTTCAGTGCATCTTAATCATAGGTTAGCAAACAGTACTTGTACACATACATACTGTAAGTCAATTTTAATCAATCATACAGAGCGAGTCATGATACAGTGACGCACTGGTTGTTGCTTAATAGTCTGTTGTCATTGAGAGTACAGTAATATTTGACAGTGCAGATTAAAATCACATATTGCCTGCGATGAAAATATATATTTTACTGCTGCTGGTCTCTTTCAGCTACTGTTGCCATGCACAAATTCAAGTCATCAGAACTGAGACTGAAGCGATGGACTTCATTGTCAATCAAGGAAACATTTACCAGGCTAAAGCAGAAGAATTACAAGCAATATTACAAGACTTTGTCTTAGAACCTTTGCTGTATTCAACAGAAAAACAGTCAGAACCAAAGGGGTATGGATTGAAAGAACCAGGCTATGTTACAAGTAAAGCACCTAAACAATCTGAAACCACAAAAACTGCAATAACAGGAAAAATGACAGTAAAACCTACGACAATAATGACAGCGACAAATGTAACAATAGAGACTACAATGATGACAGTGACAAACACAACCATGGATGGTACAACAATGATTGTAACTGAAATAACAGAGGAACCAGCAAGTACTCAGTGCATCACAGACCTGGAAACATTTGGATCGGACATTTTAGGAGAAGAACATTACGCTCTGATGATGTTAGATTCATATGGTAAGCTCCCACCTGGTATACTCCAAGGTAATATATTGTGGCTTGGACTTTACGATCAATGCTTAAAGCAATCTAGAGAGGTCGATGACCATCAATCACATTTTACTGCACAATACTGTTTAGCTTCAATTACAAAAGATAAAAATCCACAACCTATTCTTAATGTTGGAGTATGTGTTCCTGATAGCTGCAACAGTGCTGAGTTGATGGAATATTTGAATGTAATTGATGAATCAAATATTACTGTATCTGTAATGTGCCATAAGGAATTTGATTATTCATCCGGCGCTATAGCTTGTTTAACATTGCTAGCGTTTCTGGGTTGTCTAATACTTGTGGGAACAGCAACTGAAGCATTCAACAAGTATAAACAGTTTGAAATTGAAAATGAGGGATTTGACAGGCTGGCATCCACAAACCAACCAATATTGACTGATAACGAACAGATCAAAACCGTCCCTGTGAATGGACAGATTCGTGTTACAAAATCTGATGTGGGTGGGGAGAATACACATGGATTTTTTATTCAATTTCTTCTTTGTTTTTCTTTGTTGACTAATGGTAGTAAGATTCTGAAGGCCAAACAAGGGGAAGGAAGTCTAGGAGCACTTAATGGTTTTAGAGTCCTAAGCTTATGGTGGGTGATTTTGGGACATAATTATGTATTCGTTGCGACAATATTAAGTAATCCATCTAAAATTCTTGATGTACTTTCACGATTCACATTCCAGGCTATTGGTAATGCTACTTTTTCTGTTGATTCCTTCTTCTTTCTCAGTGGCTTACTCATAACTTACTTAACGTTAAAGTATTTGCGAAACAATAACGGTAAGCTGAACTGGGTGATGTTCTATGTCCACAGGTACCTCAGACTGACCCCTGTTTATATGCTGGTTATATTCATCTTTACAACCCTAACACCACATTTTACAACTGGACCATTATACTCTTTTGCTTTGGATCCAAATCCAGCTCCAGGTGTAGAGAATCAATTAACATATTGCCAAGATTACTGGTGGACAAATTTACTCTATATCAACAATCTCTACCCCTCTAGTATTGCAGAAGAATGTCTGGCATGGGGTTGGTACCTTGCTAATGATATGCAATTCTTTATCATCAGTCCCTTTGTTATCTATCTTCTCTATCACTATTTCTTTGCTGGGGCAGCTACTTGGTGCATCCTTCTGCTAACATGTTTCTCCAGTTTGATAGGAGAATCCATCAAACATGATCTTACTACGGAGTCCTTCCCAACGGACCCCACCCAAATAAATTTTGTGAGCGATTCAATTTATGTACAACCATGGACCCGTATTTCCCCGTACCTTGTTGGTATGGCTGTGGGATACATATTGTTCAAGTATAGGGGGCGGGTTCGTATGTCACTTACTATGACCATATTGGCATGGGTGACTGCAACTGTGATTGGTCTTGCAGTTGTTTATGGTCTCTATGGCAACTTCCACGGCAACCATCTCAGTAAAGCTGCTACGGTTGTTTATATCACTTTGTGCCGGTTTGCTTGGGCCATTGCTCTTGCATGGGTTGTATTTGCATGTACCACTGGGTATGGTGGGCCAGTGAATTCCCTGCTTTCCTGGTCAGTCTGGATACCACTTTCCCGCATCAGTTACTGCGCTTACCTTCTTCATCCTATCATCATGTTTGTCTTTTATTTTTCCCTTCCAACTACAGTTTATTTCTCTGATTTATTGATGGTATATTTTTTCCTTGGAAATCTTGTGATATCATATGCAGGCGCGTTTGTTTTATCAGTATGTGCAGAAGCACCATTTATGGCGTTGGAGAAATTGATCTTAAAAAGAGAGAAGAGTGTGTAAATTATAGCCATATTTTTATCCTTTACATGAATACACTTACACTTAAGATATATTTTGGAAAATAATTATTCTTATTTTCTTTGTATTTCCAAAAAACATATTTTTTTTTAATTGTTATTTTTTTAAAATTGTTTATATAGTTTGATATTTAAAATATGAATCAATTTTGTTTGTATTAAAATGTAATTTTTATGGTATTCATTAGTATTTTAGATTTGTCCACTTATTTAAATATTTAGATTGCTTTCCTTTATGTAAGCCTATTTTTGTCTGCTATTTTTCATTACTTTTTTAATAACAATTCAGTAATGCCAGTATGGCAACTCTATACATTTGTCAATTTTTGTATGTTTTATGTATTTGAATACTAATAAATGAATGAAGTAAACATTTTTTATATGAACTCTATTTTTATATTATGTTAATTTGTGATCAATTTATTCATTACCATCATTTAACAACAAGGGCAGTCATACTATAGCATATCAAGATCATGGTGAATAATCATAACAGAATGTTAATCTTATAGGCTTAATGCATTAAGCACTCTATAAATCCATAATTATTTTAATATCATTATTAATGAATGGCATTGGCATCCCAGAACTAGCAGGTAGATACTTATTTGTGGATGTAGAGGGACAGGAAATAAATAAATAAATAAAATAAAAGAATAAAAAAGGGAAAAAATTACAATAGAATTAAAAAAGAAAATAAATAAATAAAAAAAAAAATGAATAAATAAAAATCAAAGCAAGATGAAACTAAAGGCAGGAGGACTGGTGGTTAATTAGTCACAAACAAGCAGAGAGTTTATGAGGTTAATAATTTTATAAAATAATGGATTGGACTGTCACTAAACCTATTAGTGTTGAAGTGGTACTGAGATATGTTTTTTAGAATTTTTTACCATGAGCAGAAAATCTTGTTGGTGGAATTAATTGCGATGTTTTCGAAGATTTACTAAGACTCGCTGCAAATTTGCGACAATGGGCCACCCTCTTATACTCAAAGGTTACGAGGTTGCACATGCTTAATGCATTTCTGTAGCCATCATATTCAGAGCAAAGGATGACCGTACACACCTTCTTTTGTATCAATTCCATCCTTCTACAGAGTTCATAAGTTAGTCCTGAGTGCCAGATTACATCCACATATTCCAAGACGGGGCGTATGTACCCGCAATATACAGATTTAAGTTCCTCTAATAAAGGTGGCTATTATCTGTCAAACCTGACAAATAACACTCTATGTGTGAACTAACAATTTGTTTAACAACATTCTTCTCCTAATAGGTCACTTAAGTGTATGTGCCGCTACTTAATGAAATGGTGCACACCCATTTCTGTCTGTCTACCACAGACTACTTGTTAGGAAAGATATACTGTGTATGTTCAGATAATGATGTAAATTATTACCTTCTAATCCCATGGTTCTGGGTTCAAATCATGTCATGAATCACGTTAGTATTTTTGTTCTCACCTGACACTGGGTATGGTGGGCCAGTGAATTCCCTGCTTTCCTGGTCAGTCTGGATACCACTTTCCCGCATCAGTTACTGCGCTTACCTTCTTCATCCTATCATCATGTTTGTCTTTTATTTTTCCCTTCCAACTACAGCTTATTTCTCGGATTTATTGATGGTATATTTTTTCCTTGGAAATCTTGTGATATCATATGCAGGCGCGTTTGTTTTATCAGTATGTGCAGAAGCACCATTTATGGCATTGGAGAAATTGATCTTAAAAAGAGACAAGAGTGTGTAAATTATAGCCATATTTTTATTCTTTACATGAATACACTTACACTTAAGATATATTTTGGAAAATAATTATTCTTATTTTCTTTGTATTTCCAAAAAACATATTTTTTTTTAATTGTTATTTTTTTAAAATTGTTTATATAGTTTGATATTTAAAATATGAATCAATTTTGTTTGTATTAAAATGTAATTTTTATGGTATTCATTAGTATTTTAGATTTGTCCACTTATTTAAATATTTAGATTGCTTTCCTTTATGTAAGCCTATTTTTGTCTGCTATTTTTCATTACTTTTTTAATAACAATTCAGTAATGCCAGTATGGCAACTCTATACATTTGTCAATTTTTGTATGTTTTATGTATTTGAATACTAATAAATGAATGAAGTAAACATTTTTTATATGAACTCTATTTTTATATTATGTTAATTTGTGATCAATTTATTCATTACCATCATTTAACAACAAGGGCAGTCATACTATAGCATATCAAGATCATGGTGAATAATCATAACAGAATGTTATAGGCTTAATGCATTATGCACTCTATAAATCCATAATTATTTTAATATCCTTATTAATGAATGGCATTGGCATCCCAGAACTAGCAGGTAGATACTTATTTGTGGATGTAGAGGGACAGGAAATAAATAAATAAATAAATAAAAGAATAAAAAAAATGGAAAGAAATTATAATAGAATTAAAAAAGAAAATAAATAAAAAAAAAAAAAAAGAATAAATAAAAATCAAAGCAAGATGAAACTAAAGGCAGGAGGACTGGTGGTTAATTAGTCACAAACAAGCAGAGAGTTTATGAGGTTAATAATTTTATAAAATAATGGATTGGACTGTCACTAAACCTATTAGTATTGAAGTGGTACTGAGATATGTTTTTTAGAATTTTTTACCATGAGCAGAAAATCTTGTTGGTGGAATTAATTGCGATGTTTTCGAAGATTTAATAAGACCCGCTGCAAATTTGTGACAAATACTCAAGGGTTACGAGGTTGCACATGCTTAATGCATTTCTGTAGCCATCATATTCAGAGCAAAGGATGACCATACACACCTTCTTTTGTATCAATTCCATCCTTCTACAGAGTTCAGAAGTTAGCCCTGAGTGCCAGATTACATCCACATATTCCAAGACGGGGCGTATGTACCCACAATATACAGATTTAAGTTCCTCTAATAAAGGTGGCTATTATCTGTCAAACCTGACAAATAACACTCTATGTGTGAACTAACAATTTTTTTAACAACATTCTTCGCCTAATAGGTCACTTAAGTGTATGTGCCACTACTCAATGAAATGGTGCACACCCATTTCTGTCTGTCCACCACAGGGGCTGTAAAGATAGGTTCACTGGATTATTGCCCTACTTGTTAGGAAAGATATACTGTGTATGTTCAGATGATGATGTAAATTATTACCTTCTAATCCCATGGTTCTGGGTTCAAATCATGTCATGAATCATGTCAGTATTTTTGTTCTCACCTGAAAACAACACACTCTCCTTAAGTACTTTTCTATTGTTATTTTATTTAACAAGATACTTGTGACACTTTTCTTTTAAAAAATTATATCCATTACGTGAACATTATTTTTTCTACAAAAAAAAAAAAATAAATAAAATAACATAAAACATGCCTCTTAGATGTGTATTACACATATCTAGTAATAGACAGTAAAATGACAGGCAGCACTTTATAGACTAACAATTATTTATTAGCACAAGCGAACGAAAGCTTGTGCTAATAAATATTTGTTAGTCTATAAAGTGCTGCCTGTCATTTTACTGTCTATTACTATAGTTTAGACTAACATGGCTACCCCACTATTACACATCTAGTAAAAGACAGAATTTAACTGTACGGTATATACAGATGTTTATTTTTTGCCCTGGGCAGTTTTTAAATACTGTTTTTGCCAATAATGATTGATGAATTTCAATAGCATATCGCCCTACATTCGTACTAAGTCAAATAAGCTATAAAAGTTCTATAGAACATCGAAGAACAAACAGTCTGACCATGGAGCTAGTTGATGAGCATGTAATCCATCGATTACTGATTGGTTAGAATATTTACTACGGTTCAGTGAATCTTAATCCTAGAATAGCATAGATCAATCATATTTCCTCCATGATAATACAGTGAGTATATCATGAGACAGTCATTCACTAGTTGTTATTTAGAACATACATTCACCATTGAGAGTATTGCTGCCTGCAATGAAAGAGTATATTTTACTGCTGCTGGTCTTTTTCAGCTGCTGTTGCCATGCACAAATTCAAGTCATCAGAACCGAAACTGAAGCGATGGACTTCATTGCCAATCAAGGGAACATTTACCAGGCTAAAGCAGAAGAATTACAAGCAATATTACAAGATTTTGTCTTAGAACCTCTGCTGTATTCAACAGAAAAACAGTCAGAACCAAAGATGTACGGATTGAAAGACCAAGCCTATGTTACAAGTAAAGCACTTAAACAATCTGAAACAACAAAAAATGCAATAAAAACAGGAAAAATGATAGAAGAACCTACAACAATGACAGTGAAAAATGTAACAATGGAACCTACAACGATATCAGTTACAAACACAACCATTGACGGTACAACACTGATAGTAACTGAAATAACAGAGGAACCAGCAAGTACTCAGTGCATTACAGACCTGAAAACATTTGGATCGGACATTTTAGAAGAAGAACATTATGCTCTGATGATGTTAGATTCATATGGTAAGCTCCCACCTGGTATACTCCAAGGTAATATATTGTGGCTTGGACTTTATGATCAATGCTTAAAGCAATCTAGAGAGGTTGATGACAATCAAGCAAATTTTACTGCACAATACTGTTTAGCTTCAATTATAAAAGACAACAATCTACAACCTATTCTTAATGTTGGAGTATGTGTTCCTGATAGCTGCAACAATGATGAGTTGATGGAATATTTGAATATTTTTGACGAATCAAATATAACTGTGTCTGTCATGTGCCATAAGGAATTTGATTATTCATCCGGCGCTATAGCTTGTTTAACATTAATAGCGTTTCTGGGTTGTCTAATACTTGTGGGAACAGCAACTGAAGCATTCAACAAGTATCAAGAGTCAGAAACTGAGAATAAGGGATTTGAAAGGCTGGCATCTAAAAACCAAACAATATTGACAGATAACGAACAGACCAAAACCACCTCTGTGAATGGACCAAGTCGTGTTACAACAATTGATGTCGGTGGGGAGAATACACATGGATTTCTTATTCAATTTCTTCTTTGTTTTTCTTTGTTGACTAATGGGAGTAAGATTTTGAAGGCCAAACAAGGGGAAGGAAGTCTAGGAGCACTTAATGGTATTAGAGTCCTTAGCTTATGGTGGGTGATTTTGGGACATAATTATGTTACCACTATGACAATATTAAGTAATCCATCTAAAATTCTTGATGTACTTTCACGATTCACATTTCAGGCTATTGGTAATGCTACTTTTTCTGTTGATTCCTTTTTTTTTCTAAGTGGCTTACTCGTAACTTACTTAACATTAAAGTATTTGCAGAACAATAAAGGTAAGTTGAACTGGGTGATGTTCTATGTCCACAGGTACCTCCGACTGACCCCTGTTTATATGCTGGTTATTTTCATCTTTACAACCCTAACACCACATTTTTCAACTGGACCATTATACTCTTTTGCTTTGGATCCAAATCCACCTTCTGGTGTAGGTAATTCACTAAAATATTGCCAAGATTATTGGTGGACAAATTTACTCTACATCAACAATCTCTATCCCTCAGAACTTATGAGAGAATGTCTAGCATGGGGTTGGTATCTTGCTAATGATATGCAATTCTTCATCATCAGCCCCTTCATTATCTATCTTCTCTATCACTATTTCTTTGCTGGGATAGCTGCTTGGTGCATCCTTCTGCTAACATGTTTCTCCAGTTTGATAGGAGAATCCATCAAACATGATCTTACTACAGAGTTCCTCCCAACGAACCCCAACCAAACACATTTTGCGAATGATTCAGCTTATGTACAACCTTGGACCCGTATTTCCCCATACCTTGTTGGTATGGCTGTGGGATACATATTGTTCAAGTACCAGGGGCGGATTCGTATGTCACTTACTATGACATTATTGGGATGGGTGACTGCAACCGTGACTGGTCTTGCAGTTGTTTATGGTCTCTATGGCAACTTCCATGACAACCTTCTCAGTAAAGCTGCTACAGTTGTGTATATCACTTTGTGTCGGTTTGCTTGGGCCATTGCTCTTGCATGGGTTGTATTTGCATGTACCACTGGGTATGGTGGGCCAGTGAATTCCCTGCTTTCCTGGTCAGCCTGGATACCACTTGCCCGCATCAGTTACTGCGCTTACCTTCTTCATCCTATTATCATGTTTGTCTTTTATTTTTCTCTTTCAACTACAGTTTATTTTTCGGATTTATTGATGGTGTATTTTTTCCTTGGAAATCTTGTGATATCATATGCTGCAGCATTTGTTTTGTCAGTATGTGCAGAAGCACCATTTATGGCATTGGAGAAATTGCTCTTAAAGCGAGAAAAGAGTGTATAAATTTATGTAATGTTTCTATCATTTACACGCTTAAGTTATATTTAAGTAAAAATATTTTCTTATTTTCTTTATAATTTTCAAAAAATATATTTTCTAAATTTTTTTACCAGTATGTTGAAATTTTAAAATCTAATTCATTTTTTGTTTGTAATGAAATGCAATTTTTAATGTATAGTATTTTTAGATATTTTCAGGTATACACAGAAATAAATTTTTGCCTAATTTTAACTTTATGGCCTATTTTTGTTTTGTTATCTCTTAATTACTCTTTAGAAATTTAGTAACACCGATGTGACAACTCTATACATCTGTCAATGTTTGTATGTTTTATGTATTTTGAATACTAATAAAGTGAACAAAAAACATTTTATATGAATTATTTTTTTACATGATAAAATTCACATATACTTGTCGGTGTAGAAAGACGTGACTGAAAGAGACAAGTGAAATGCTCAGCCAATGTTCAAAACCTTTAGGAGCCCTAACTACATCTATTGTGCCAATCTCTCCCATTTTGATTGACTGCTGCAATGGGCACTTATAAGTATACTAAATAAAAGTGGCTATTTGTATATAATCCATCTATTAAGCCGGTTTTCCACTTGGCGAATTTATTCGCGCGAATCGAAGCCGTCGGTTCGGTTCCTGACCTCTGATTGGTTGCGAACATTTTTCGCTTCGCAAAAAGTAGAAACAGTTCGAACTAACAATTTCGCTGAAATGAAAACTCCGATAAAAATGTAAATGCGCATGCGCATGAACGACGGTTTTGATTCGCGCGAATAAATTCACCTAGTGTAAAACTAGCTTCAAGCTTGTTTTCCATTAGGCGAATTCTTGAATGCTCATGCGCAATCACATTACTTTTTGTGAAAGCGACAAAAAATATGCAACCAATCAGAGCTCAGGACGCTTCTAATTTGCACAAATAAATTTGCCTAGTAGAAAACAGGCTTCAAACCTGACACCAATGGCACGCTAGGCTTGGACTAGTAGCTTGCTTAAGCAACATTCTTCACCCTAATAGTAGATCGCTATGGTGTGTGTGCTGATACTCAACAATTAAATGGTGCAGCAGCATGCACATTTTTGTCCGTTTACCAGATTTCATTTATTCGTTTGACCAAAGACAGAATACATAATCAAATACAGTAAGAATGGTTAGAACAGAAGGGGTTCCAAGTCTCCCGGAAAGCGGGACAGACTCCAGCACTCCCACATGCGACTAAGAGTCCCCCGGAAAGTAACCCATCTCCGGCAAATTCATAATATTTGCATGTTCTTACTACTTCAATATCAATTTTATTTTTACTTGGTTTTTTTTTCTTGCTTTTCTTTATTTGCCTTATTATTCTGCTTTTAATTATTTTATAGTTAATTTTATTTTATTTTAAATTTTATTTATTTAATATGTATATATTGTAATAATTTCTTTTCCTTTGTTACTTGGTTTTTATTATAATTTTTCATTTTAATTTCTTTGTTTATTTATACTTCCTTTGTTACTTGTGTTGTTATTATTTTAACTTCTAAATATATATAAATTTTTTTTTTTTAATTTTATTTTTAGCTTTGTTATTTTTTGCTTTTTTGTGCCTTTTTATTCTGCTTTTAATTATTTTATAGTCAATTTGATTTTAATTAAAATTTTTATTTATATAATATAGTTTTATGTAATAATTTCTTTCCTTTGTTACTTAGTTATTTTATTTTTTATTTTTAAAATTTTTAAATTTATTTTAAAAAAACAATTTTTTTATTTATTTTTTTTTTCATTTTAATTTCTTTGTTTTTCTATTTATATTTCCTTTGTTACTTGTGTTATGTATTGAGGGTCCCTAATGATCAGCTCCGGCTGGATGGACCACCCTCGTAAAATATTGTTGAAATAAATAAATAAATAAATAATTGTCTCACGGTGGGTGTCAGTGCCGATGGGTATCACCATCCACAGCATAATAAAATTAACTATCTAATTATTGAGTATAACAAAAAGAGGATAATATGTTAAATTTTGTATTGTTTTTATTTAACTATACTTTATTGTAAAGTTTATAGAGTGACATTGTAAATATACAGTCACTGACATGCTTGGCAATAAAATTGAAAGAATATATTATAAAGATTTGTTTTAGTATTCTATTTCATTTATCTACCTGTCAATGGTCATTCAAAAATATTTATTCATTATTTTGGCAATAAAAATCATATTTAATGTTATTATTAGCCCTGGTAAATGGATCAATACAGCATATTGGCAAACTATCAAAAACGCAACCCCCTCCACTCCATGGGAAGTACTTAGTCGTTCTTGAAGTTTTATGCAACATATTAATACAATCAATGCCACAACACCCTAGCAGGTACCCATAAACTCCTTGGTGGCTACTGAATGCTCTGTCCACACATCGAATAATCGGGTGGTTAGCAGGGGAGCCAAAACATTGGCGCTGTTTCAAACGGCACACTCCCTGTGGTTTAGGTGGTAGAACAAGTCTTCTCGGATAAGGACTATAAACTGTAGGCAAAGTGTATACAATGGCTCACGTGCACTATAAAGAACCCAGTACATCATTTGAGATGAGTAGGGAGATACAACAGTGTACTGGACAGCAAATGTGGTGAACGACAAGGTTTGCTGGTACAGGGTTACCGGGTAGTACAGACACGAGGGGAGCCTTAGGGGCAAAGAAAGTAATTGATCGAGTTCCTAGTTCACATATCAAGTGCCCTGAGCATCTTATTTGATGGATATGGAGCCATATAAAAACTACACTATTATTATTATTAACTATTATTATCAAATGTTATGTGAAATGTCCATATGTGGCACAGATAAGCCAGTCACTCCTCGCAAATTGTGATAATGAGATAATGGCCAAAATCATCATTATTGGTGGGCAATGGGTTCGCTAAACAAGGTGTATAAAAATCTTGCCTTATGTAGCAAGATATTCAGTGACATTTTTATTCTTTAAAAAATTATATTATTTCTACATCTATTATTCTTTATTCTGTTATCCTAACAGATATTATTCTCCTGAAGACGACCGAAGCATCTCAATAGAAACATCAAGATATTATTTTCTACGTGGTATACCGCAAGTATTAATATATATTATTATTCTTTTCTTCAAAAAATAAAAAAATAAAATAAAAACATCTCTTAAATGTGTATTTCGAAAATGGGAGTGATCAATCCAACTACCGTATTGCAACACATCTGGTAAAAGAGAGCATTTAACTGTAGTATACAGTAGCGATTGTATATGTTAATTTTTTCTCCAGGGCAGCTTTTTATGATTGCCAATAATCGATGACAATGCTTTTTTTTTTTTTTGTACTACGTACAGCTTTATGACTTCCTGGCTTAATGGAGAATAACAATAACATATTTCCATAATCTGTAATTGAACCAAATTTCCATAGTCTGGTTTATGAAAGTTCTATAGAACTTGATAGCCCTTCAAGGCATTTGAAATTTAGACGCTTGTAAGAGTGATGATCAATTAACGATTAGGATTACTATAGACATCCTATGATATCATACATTAACTTAAGATTGTTTTAAAGAACTTAAAGTACACATACTTATGTTTTTACGTTCTAACCTGGCTATAAGTACATGAGTTTAGATTATTTTATTATATAAAAAAAGACACTTGGTTATTAATAATGTGAATTGCCACATAATTTAGTCACATGTTGTTGTATAAACAGTCTCATCATTGAGCCATTATTAATGAGAATGTAATGCATCGATTACTAACTATTTAAAACCATAATGTATTGAAAGGCCTCATGTGATAACCTTTATGACAATGAAGTGAAACTATGCATACAATATTACAATAGGGTTGTGCATACCTGTTCTGGTTATTTACACTTGGCTTTCAATAGTTTCTCTCACTTGGACTAGGTTTACTATATGTACAGTACTTCAATATGAGACTGAGTGTAATATTAACTTTTATATTCGCAAGCTTCTATTGCAATGCTCAATTTCATGTTAACAATGAGCAGAAGGCTAGTGAATTCCTCAGCAAGAGCAAATGCATAAAGACACCACGAAATGCTGAAGATGTCATGGATCGTATGGTGTATAGCACTTTACTACAGCCTATGCTACAATCAGTTGAATACCACCTGAGATCACACAAGTTGCGGAATAAACAAGAATTCTTTGATAAAATAAAGCCTGCTACTAAAGAGTTGCCTTCATTAGGATACGCTGAAAATATGGCACCGAAAATGTTGAAAGCATGGTCCAGTACTAAAGATTTCACAACTGAATCATTGAGCGCCACACCGGAATCTCCGTCTCAGTGTATCTTGGACCTGGGATATTTTAATTCTGACCTTCAAGAAGGTGACCTGTATGCACTGATGATGGTTGATGCTTACGGTAAACTCCCTCCTGGTGTTTTTCAAGGTAGCATTACATGGCCCGGGCTCTACGATCAATGTCAGTCGCAGTCGAAGTCTTCTAATGTAACAAGCTTCAAAGGCAAACACTGCATAGTATTTCTGTACAATTTAAAACCAAATGCCTCGTTCCCGAGTATAAATATTGGAATGTGTGTGCCTAATAGCTGTGATGCGGAGCAGATTAAGAGCCTGTTAAGTAGCCTTCCTATAGACACTGATTATATGGTAACATACACAATATGCACTAAAGTATATGAATATTCAGCAGCTGCTATTGCCTGCCTGACTACACTCGCATTTTTATGTGTGATGATAATCATTGGTACCATTTATGACTTGGCTAAACGAAGGAAAGAATCAGCTGCACTTAAAGTAGATGATAAAAACAATGGAGAAGACATGAACATCACTGAAACCTCAGCAACATACAATCGAAGTGAGACTTCACCATTACTGGCAGAATCGGAAAAAAATGTGATTAAACAGAATGACAGTTTTTTTGGAAAATTTATTCTGTGTTTCTCAATGATAACAAATGGTAGTAAGATACTGAAAACGAAGCAAGGAGAAGGAAGTCTGGGAGCCCTCAATGGCATTAGGGTCCTTAGTTTATTTTGGGTGATTTTGGGACATACTTATTCGTCCTCCATTACACTATATAGTAATATTTTAACACTATTTCATGTAATTGCCCGATTTTCATTTCAAGCCATAGTCAATGCTACTTTCTCTGTTGATTCCTTCTTCTTCCTAAGTGGCTTACTCGTAACTTACTTAACATTAAATTACATGAAGAAAAATAATGGTAGGCTAAACTGGGTGATGTTTTATGTCCATAGATACCTCCGACTAACCCCTGTTTATATGCTTGTAATTTTTATCTTTACAACCTTAACACCATACTTTGGAACTGGATCGTTTTACTCATATACATTTGATCCAAATCCTGCCCCTGGTGTAGAAAATCAATTAACATATTGCCAAGATTACTGGTGGACAAATTTACTCTACATCAACAATCTCTACCCCTCAGAACTTATGAGAGAATGCCTTGCATGGGGTTGGTATCTTGCAAATGATATGCAATTCTTCATCATCAGCCCCTTCATTATCTATCTTCTCTATCACTATTTCTTTGTTGGGGTAGCTGCTTGGTGTATCCTTCTGCTAACATGTTTCTCTAGTTTGATAGGAGAATCCATCAAACATGATCTTACCACAGAGTTTATTCCAGAGGATCCAAACCAGATAAATTTTATAACTGATTCAATTTATGTCCAGCCATGGAGTCGTATTTCCCCGTACCTTGTAGGTATGGCTGTTGGATACATCTTGTACAAATATCGAGGACGGGTTCGTATATCAATTTTTGTGACGGTATTGGGATGGGTGACTGCAACTGTGATCGGTCTTGCAGTTGTTTATGGTCTCTATGGCAACTTCCATGACAACCATCTCAGTAAAGGTGGTACAGTTGTGTACATCACTTTGTGCCGGTTTGCCTGGGCCGTTTCTCTTGCATGGGTTGTATTTGCATGTACCACTGGGTATGGTGGGCCAGTGAATTCCCTGCTTTCCTGGTCAGCATGGGTACCACTTGCCCGTATTAATTACTGTGCTTACCTAATTCATCCTATTATTATAATTGTCTTTTACGTCTCCCTACCAAATATGATTTATTTCACTGATTCTCTAATGGTGTATTTTTTCCTTGGTAATCTTGTGTTATCGTACGCATGTGCCTTTATTTTGTCAGTATGTGCAGAAGCACCATTTATGGCATTAGAAAAATTGCTTTTGAATCGAGAAAAGAGCGTGTGATTTAGGAGTTTACATTTTTACAATTAAGTTACACCGGTATATTTCCTTTTTCTTTCGGATAAAATAATAGTACTTGGTTAAAATATTGAATGCAAAATGACTACCA